CACAAACAGACGAAAGAAAGACAGATCATGTCACGCTCGCCGAGCACTGCTAAGCTGGGGCAGACGCGGGAAAGCTGAAGTTGTATGTCTGTGCACTTTGCGCGGTGTGCACGCGTCCCCTGGCTGTATGTGCCAAGGCTGGGTCGAAGAATTTGCGTGTCTGTGCACTGTGTGTGGTGTGCTTGCACAACATGCACGCATGCACACATGCACAACATGCACAACATGCAAAACATGCACACCATGCGCAACATGCACAACACGCACACATGCACAACATGCACAACATGCACAGCATGCACAACATGCGCACATGCAAAAATGCAAACATGGACAACATGCAAACATGGACAACATGCAAACATGCACAACATGCACAACATGCACAACATGCACAACATGCACAACATGCCCAACATGCACAACATGCACAACATGCACAACATGCACAACATGCACAACATGCACAACATGCACAACATGCACACATGGACAACATGCACACATGCAAACATGCACAACATGCAGAACATGCACACATGCACAACATGCACACATGCACCTTTGCAAACATGCACAACATGCACAACATGCACACATGCACAACATGCACCCATGCACAACATGCTCAACATGCACAACATGCACAACATGCAAGACGTGCACAACATGCACAACATGCAAGACGTGCACAACATGCACAACATGCCCAACATGCACAACATGCACAACATGCACACATGCACACATGCAAACATGCACAACAAGCACACATGCGCAACATGCACAACATGCACACGTTCAAACATGCACACATGCACAACATGCACAACATGCACACATGCTTTCTTGGCGTGTCTGGGAGCAAGATCACCAAGGCCAAGAGCAGGCAGGTGCAACAACCTCGGCTGTAGCATGGAGTAGTCGAACAAGAAGTATGTCGTGCGGCGCGCAGTCTAGAAGGACATTAAGAGACAGTTTCGGGCATGTGAACTGACTTTGGGCCAATCACACGAAACCCTCAACCCTGAACACCAAAACCTATTTAGGGTTTAGGGTTTAGGGGTGTAGGTTTAGGGTTTAGGGTTTAGGGTTTAGGGTTTAGGGTTTAGGGTTTAGGGTTTAGGGTTTAGGGTTTAGGGTTTAGGGTTTAATTAGGGTTTAGGGTTTAGGGGGTTGAGGGGCTGGCAGCTGATGCTTCCAGCCATGGAGCACCCTGCGCAGCAAGCCATCCAGTGACGAAGCAGACAAGAGCACGTCTGGACAGTGGCGCCTGCCATGCGTTGAGGGTTTAGGGTTTAGGGTTTAGGGTTTGGGGTTTGGGTTTAGGGTTTAGGGTTTAGGGTTTAGGGTTTAGGGTTTAGGGTTTAGGGTTTAGGGGTTTAGGGGTTAGGGGTCTAGGGGTTAGGGGTTAGGGGTTTAGGGGTTCAGGGGTTTAGGGTTTAGGGTTTTTCTCTTCTCGTCTTCGCAATGTTTAGTTCAGAGTTTAGGGCTTATCGGGTTTTGGGGTTCAGGGTGTAGAGTTTAGGGTTTGGGGTTCACACTTAACCCTAGACCCTAAACCCTAAACCCTAAACCCTGAACCCTAAACCCTCAACCCTTAACCCTCAGACCCTTGAGAGGGCTTGTGGCTTTTAAAAGGCTGCTGGTCTTCAACCTTTGAGCCATTCTAGAGAACAGAGCCTCCGAGAGGAGGGTTCCGAAAAATGGAAGTCCCCTTTGTGAGGGCCCCTTTTCAGGGTTTAGGGTTTAGGCTTTCCGCTTTAGGGTTTAGGGCGAAACAGTGACCAGTAGTTGGGGGGCTGGGTGGGAGGGGGGGGGGGAGGATGACCCTGAAGTCTTTTCAGGTTTCGTGGCTTAGGCCCCAACAGCGCAACTGCTATGCTCTAAACCACGGTCCGAACAGCTCACTGCTTTTTGACATCTCCAGAATGCGTAGGCTTCAAACCTAAACGCAAAGCCCTGACTCGACCTAGAACCCTGAACCCAGAACCCTTGAACCCTAAACCCAAAACCCTGAACCCTGAACCCTAAACCCCAAACCCTAAACCCCAAACCTCTGTCTGCCCTTTAGATGACCAGCCTTGTCCTTCGCCGGCCTGGAGTTTTGAGGCTTGGGTTTAGGGTTTCGGGTTTAGGGTTCAGGGCTTCGGGGGGCTTTACGCTTCGGGGGCATTCGAAGGTTTAGGGCTTCGGGTTTTGGGGACTTGTGCGCGTGTGAACACAACCCAACCTTGTGCAACCTGCTTGGAGGACTTCGAGGCCTACAGCAAAAACCTCCCAAAGCCTCTGAGCCCGGAATCAAACCCTGAACCCTAAACCCTACATCCAAACCATAAAATCACTGGACCTCAAATGAATCTGCACACTAAACCCTCAATCCTTGAACCCAACCTCCATCCCTGCCACCTCATCCTCGACCCCCTCAACCTGAACCCTGAACCCTCAACACTTCGTCAAACCTTCGAAGATCAGGGGATTCCTAAACCCGAGACCCTGAACCCTAAACAAACCTACACCCTACACCCTGCACCCAAAACCCTAAACCCTAACCCTAAACCCGAAACCCGAAACCCTAAACCCGAAACCCGAAACCCGAAACCCGAAACCCGAAAAACCCGAAACCCGAAACCCGAAACCCTAAAAACCCGAAACCCTAAACCCTAAACCCTAAACCCTAAACCCTAAACCCTAAACCCTAAACCCTAAACCCTAAACCCTAAACCCTAAACCCTAAACCCTAAACCCTAAACCCTAAACCCTAAACCCTAAACCCTAAACCCTAAACCCTAAACCCGAACCCTCAACCCTAAACCCCCCAGCTGGGAACCTCCAGACAAAGGAGGCGCTGGGAGTCAGGTTGGTGCCGGTCTACGATTCGAGTGGTGGTCGCATCCTGGCTCAAGGGTTCAGGCTGGGGTCGATATGGGTTTAGGGTTTCGGGTTCAGGGTTCAGGGTTTAGCGGTTTATAGGGTGTAGACCTTTAGGGCTTCGGGCTCGCATTCTCTGAGAGCACTTCAGGGCTGAGCTGGGAGGAAAACAAAAAAGGAGAGACGCTGTCCTTTTGAATGATCCCCCTTATACTAACCGACCTTAGAAAACCCCCTACTATAATCCCTATTAAGGACTGCTGGTATAAGCAGGCCCGATGTGGTGTTCACTATCTGTGCTCGCTGTATGTATGCGAGCACTAGTGCATCATAACCGTTGCTCTCTGGGGCGGCCTAAGACACTTTATCGGCCCCAAACCCCAACCCCCGAACCCCACACCCCAAGCCCCAAACCCCCCGAGCCCCAACCTCCCGAGCCCCAGACCCCAAAACCCCAAACCCTCAACCCTAGACACCTAAACCCTTTCAGGGTTTAGGGTTTAGAGTTTAGGGTTTAGGGTTTAGGGTTTAGGGTGGGATCAACCCCAGGGTCCGAGCCCGGCGCCTGATGAACTGACCTCTCGTGGTGGAAGTCGTCCAGGTGAGAGCCCTTGGGCGGAACAAGCTCCTCGCCCAGGGCTTCTTGCAGAGAGGTTTGGTAGGTTTTCTTGCATCTACAGGTGGGGCCCTCTTACTATACTTACTATAGTTCAGGGACTTATAACCTAAGTTAGGATCCTTATAACCCAATTTCGGACCCTTATAACTCTACTTACAACTAGGGGGCCCCTACTTGTAGGGCCACCAGCCTGCAACATCACCCTGGTTTTTGCGCCAGTTTTTGGCATGTTTGCCAAACGCATCCCGCCGTCGTGCAGCCCTGCATCCCTAAAACTTAACCCTAAATTTCAACAAAACAACCCTAGTTAAGCCTAATGAAACACTAAAGCCCAAATTCCCTAGCAATGACTTTCACCCAAGAATCCCTAAACCCCACAGCCCCAAAGCCCCTTGAGCCCGCACCTTGAACTCGTAGTGCTTGTCTTGGCCACTCATGGCCGAAGCCCTGCATACAGTAGGGGTTGCGGTGCTTGAGGTGTGGGTTGGGTTTCGGCCTTAGCCTCAGGGGGTTAAGGGTCTAGGGCTTTAGGGGTTTGGGGGGGGGGGGGTATCCTGACCTACAGCCCTGAGCCACTGCGGGCTTAGAAACCCCTGTAGAAGCCCCTGCAGAAACGAACCCTTAAAACCCCTGAACTCCTTAAGCCCAAAGCCCCAAGCCCTACACCCTGTGCCCAGCTCCTAAACCCTAAACCCTACAACCCTAAACCCTATAGACCCTAAACCCTAAACCCCCACACCCCTAATCCCTGATCTAGATGCCCTGGAGACCCGAAGCCGGGCGGCCTACGTCCAGCAGTGAGTGAAGTGCGACGGCGCGCAGGGCGCGCAGGGCGCGCAGGGCGCTGGGTTGCTGGGAGGATAGGGCTTGTAGGGCTTAATTTCCTGCAAACCAACTTACCTACTGCTTCATGGTATACCCTATGACAGAGGTGAGTTGCAAGTAGGGTTTAGGGCCGAATTAGGGGTTTCTTGCTTGTAGAGTGTGGAGCAAGATAGGGGGCTTGCGCCCAGTTTAGGCACTGCCAGCAAGTCAATCTATGATCTATAGGGCTTTAGGGGTCTAAAGCCCTTATTCAACCCCAACAAAATTCCGAAAATGGCTCTGAGGTGCTCTGGCAGGTGTGGGAAGGGCTCCAGCCAAGCACTGGATGCTTGAGACGACTCTGGGGGGGGGCTTCTTGCTTGAGCTTGGAGTGTGAGCCGCAACGCTGCGCAGTCAGCATCCACCTGCAACGCCCTGGAAAACAAAGAGTTTTTGCTAGTTGCTTAAGAACCCCTAAACAATGTGAGACAAGACCTACATATTGCCCTCATAAGGAAGACTGTCTTTTTGTTTTGAACCCTCAATGCCGAAAAATGAACAATCATCATAATAATTATGATACTAGTACAAACAAATAGTAATAGTAATAATCAGAATAAGAATAAGATAAATGTTAAATTAAAGATGACAAAAGTAAACCACCAAAACCCAGGAGGTTTGATCGCCACAGCGACGGGCCCCCGACTCGGTTCCGGCGCGCGTCCTCCCACTTCGCCTCAAGGCCGACATGCTTGGGGGTTTAGGGTTTAGGGTTTAGGGCCTAGGGTGAGGTTTAGGTTTAGGGTGTAGGGTTTAGGGTTCAGGGTTTAGGGTGCAGGGTTTAGGGTTTCGGGTTCAGGGTTTAGGGTTTAGGGGGCTTTGGGGGGGGGGGGGGGGGGGGGGGGGAGAGTTTAGGGGTGTTGAGGGTTCAGGTTAATTCAAGTAGATTGTACGAGAATGCCCCCCCCGTGTTATGTTTACCACATGGGGGTTTCCGAAATTAGGGTACCTTATTGAGGTCCTTATTGGGGATCCTACTATTTCTACTTTGGGGGGGCGGTCCCCTATTTTCCTAAGCCCCCAGTATTCAAGGGATTGACAGACTGGCATCCCGAGGGATGTACCCCTAAGAGGTTTCCTGAGGATACTCCTTGCGCTTCTATTCTCTCAGGGGACCTTCAAACAGGGCCCCCAGCCAAAGGGTCCAAGGCAAAATTCAAAAAACCTTTGTAGTCCTCTTTTGGGATATGGGCAGTTCTAAAGACTAGGGTCCCTTGTGGGTCCCCTAAAGTACAGTAGAGTCACATGTCGTACTCTTTTCGTATGAGAGCTGTCACTAAGGGCCCTTGGGGGGTGTCAGGGGTTTTTGGACTCCTCCTCCTCCTGCTCCTCCTCCTGCTCCTCCTCCTCCTCTCCTCCTCCTCCTCCTCCTGCTCCTGCTCCTGTTCCTGCCCCTGCCCTCCTCCTCCTCCTCCTCCTCCTCCTCCTCCTCCTCCTCCTCCTCCTGCTCCCTCTCCCTCCCCCCCAAAAAAAGACTTTGTAGGGGCCTAGATGCGCAAGCCATATGCTGTAGAAAGCCCTCCACCTCTCTCCCGAACACCCTAAACCCTTAAACCCTAGTAGCCCGAAGTAGCCCGAAGTAGTCCTGCTCAGGCCCCACCATCCCCCCCGCCTACGCCGCCGCTGCTCCAAACAAAGGCTGCTTGAGCTTGGGGAGCTTAAATCATGAGCTTCTTTGTGCAGGGTCGGGTTCAACCCCTAAACCCTAAACCCTAAGCCCTAAACCCTAAACCCCAAACCCTGAACCCAAACGGCTTCGGCTTGGGCTTCAGGAGTTGCTGATGCAAGCCTTTGGCACATCGACCATGCAAGCCACGTCATCCAATTCTGGGGCTCCCGCGTATGCCGTGTTCAGGGCAAGATGGTCCGAGGGAGGTCCTGCCTGTGACAGGGTCTAGGGTGTAGGGTTCAGAGTTCAGGGTTTAGGGTGTTCGGGGTCTAGGAGGGCTCAAGGTTTGTGGGCCTGTCGAGATCATTGCCCATCTCATCCCTTTGTGAACCCTCCATGCTTGTGCCAGAAAACAACACCGACCCAACATGCCCAGTCTGACTATGCAGGCCTACTTCTGGGCGGGGTATGGAGAGGGGTGAACGCTTCAAGTTTAGGGCAAGCCTGGCATAACCTGGGGGGCATTTTGTGTGGGGTTCCGCTGCAGCACACGCCTCACCCATCTGAAACAAAGACAAGAAAGCCCTAAAGCCTAAACATAGCCGTCATGAAAAAAGTGACCTGAGAACTGAAAACCCTACATCCTAGCCACTTAAGGTTTAGAGCTCTTGGATTTAGGGATTCCAAGGTCTTAGGAATTTAGGGTTTGGGAGTCTCATAGCGTTTTTGGCCCCAGGTGGGGTATGGCCTTGGGAAGAAGCTCCGCGCAGTGCGAGGCCCTGGCTTTCTCTTTATCTCAGAGGTAAGCCCATGCTGAAGAGATTGAACCCAAAAACCCAAAAAACTAAGCCCGAAACCCTAAAGCCTTTAAGGCCTTGAAGGCCTTGAAGGCCTTTAAGGCCTTTGAGGCTCCACTTTGGGGTCATGATTCTCTAGGTTGGACCTTAAAACCCTCGGAAAAAAAAAAAAAACTCGATATGATCCTCTTCAACCCAAAGAAGGGAACACGCAACTTATCCCAAAAAGGCCTACCTAGTTCTAGAGCTTCTGGGGCTTAGGGTTTTGGCCACTTCTTCGGTTTTAGGGCCTAGGGGCTTCCGGGTGTTTTTGCTGCTATGGGTACAGCTGCTGGAGCCTTTCAGGCTTCTGGAGCTCGGGGAGCTTTCTTAGGGTTTAGGGTTTAGGGTTTAGGGTTTAGGGCTTAGGGTCTTGCCCCATAAAGTTGGAACATGGTTTAAGGACGATAGGTGCTGGGATTTCTTAGGAACCCTCTTGGGGTATGAGGATGATCATGTTCCAACTTTTGGGAGTTTACTGTAGGGTTGAGGGTTTCGGGCCTAAGACTTGACGCTTGAGGCTGGACGTGGGGCTGATGATAGAGGGGCGCTTTAGGGTTCACACTCTCTGCTTGCTTTCCCTAGATACTCCCGATAAACTCTATAGACCCTAAAAACCCTCCAAACCTTCCAAACCACTTAGAGAAGGAGAGAGACAAAAAGAGAGAGAGAGAGAGAGAAAGAGAAAGAGAGAGAGAGAGAAGGAAATAGAGAGAGAGAGAGAGAAAGACAGAAAGAGAGAGAAGGAGAGAGAAACGGAGAGAGAGAGAGAGAAGGAGAGAGAGGGAGAGAAGGAGAGAGAGAAAGAGAGAGTGAGACATCAAGACAGGGAGAAAGAGAGAAAGAGAGATAACAAAAAACAAAAAGAGAGAGAGAGAGAGAGAGATAAGCAGAGAGCGAGAGAGAGAGAGAGAGAGAGAGAGAGCGAGCGAGCGAGGGAGAAAAAGAGAGAGTGAGAGAGAGACCTATAAGTCGTAAACCCTGAACCCTAAACTCCTAAACCAGCCGGAGACGCTTAGCTTGGGCCCTCTTGCTCTCGCTGAAGGGTGAGGCCAACCTGGGTCGCTACTTTCGCGCGCGCGCGCACGCAAACCCGCAAACCCTGTAAGCCCTGTACCCTGCAAAGCTCCGAAGGCTTCTGAATATTTGGCCCCAAACCCTAAACCCCAAACCCTAATCAAACCCTAAACCCTAAACCCAAAACCACGGAGCTTCCTTGGGAAGGTATAGGGCTGAGACTGGGGGTCTGCCACCTCTCTTTTGTTCGGATACGGGGCCAACATGTTGCAGGACCTCAAAACGGGACATAGGGTTTAGGGTTTGGGGTTTGGGGTTAAGGGTTTGGGGTTTGGGGTTTTGGGCTTTGGGGTTTTGGGTTTGGGGTTTAGGGTTGAGGGTTTGGGGTTTAGGGTTTGGGGGTTTAGGGTTTTAGGGCATCAAACCCTAAGCCCTATACCCTCAAAAGCCTGCTCCCCCCATGCATGGGTCCCTAAACCTCAGCGACCGCACGCCCTAGCATAGTGTTTCCTGTTTAGGGTTGGGGGGGGTTGTAGGGCTTTAGGGTCCAGGGTTTTGAGGGATTTCGGGTTTGAGCTTCGGGTGTTGGAGTTTCGGGTTCAGGGATTAGGCTTAAGGGTTTACGGCTTCAGGTCTTAGAGTTAGGCCTTTGCTTTCCGGGCTCGGCTTCGCGCGGTGACCGATGGGAAAGAGTTGCAGCAACTGTCCAGACCTTGGCACGGCACAAGAACATCTGTCCTGTACGAATACGGCCGCATATGGGTACTTTTTACATTACGGCCTTTTTTTCTTTTTTTTTTTGGGGGGGGTCCTTTTTATAAGCCGCCGTGTGGTGCCGTACTACATAGGGGACCCCAAAAAGGACCCTAATTTGTCCCAAAAGAGGACTAAGTAAGCACTAGGATCATGAGATTTTGCCTCGGACCCTGAGGTTGTACCCTTGGGTGTGGAAACCCTTGTTTTTGAAGATCCTCTAAGGGAATATAGGGCCTCATGAGGAGGGTACTAAGAAACCTCTTAGGGTTTAAGGTTTAAAGTTTAGGGTTTAGGGTTAAGGGTTAAGGGTTTTAAACCCCTCGATAGGTCGCCCGAGACCTGCCTAAAACTGAGGGCCCACCACCCGTGCAACTGGTGCTCTCCCCGACGGGTTTAGGGTTTGGGGTTTAGGGTTGAGGGCTTAGGGTTTAGGGTTTAGGGTTGGGGGTTGGGGGTTTGGGGTTGAGGGTCTTGGCATAGGGTTTAGGGTTTAGGTGTAGGGCCATAGACCATGCAAACCCTAAACCCGTGTTTTGGAACCTGTGTCGCGAGGTCGCCAAACGCTACAGCTGCCCAAAACGATTTTTAGAAGGGGGTTTCGGGTTTACACCTCTAGGCCCAGATTCTTTGGGTTTCAGGTTTGGGACAAGAAAAGGAAGAAAAAATCATAATAATCAGAAAAATAAGAGCAGCCCCCGGAAGCCGACTTTTTGAGGCCGAAGACCGCCTCGACCCCGCCGAAGAGCGCCGCGTACAGCACCATCCTTGGGGGGGGGGGGATTCAGGGTTTAGGGCTCTTCGATTAAGGGTTTAGGGCTAGCTGGGGGTTCTAAAACTTAGGGGTATTCGGGTTTATGGGGCTCTTAAGGGGTTCAGGGTTCAAGGCTCTGAGGGATTGCAGGGTTTAGGGTTTAGGGTTTAGGGGAAGAGCTTACACCTTTTGGGCTTTAGGGGTTTCAGGGTTTAGGGCTCTAGGGGTTTTAGTGTTTATATAGGGCCACTAGCGGTTCTAGGGTTTAGCGCTTAGGGCTCTAGGGGGCTTTAGGGATTGCAGGGCTTAGGGGGCTTTACGCGCTGTAGGGGGCCGGAGCGGAGGCAGGTAGGCCCAGCGACCGTGGAGGCTGTGGGAGGTCCGTTAGGTGCTTTGAGTTTGTTGTCTGCACGTCCTGTTCATGTGGCACCGTGTTGAGTTGCTTTCGTGCGCGACGTCCCATTGTTTGGTGGCGCCTTCACCTTCGGCTGAATATGGCGCTGTGTTGCAAGGCTTCTTGGAGCCAAAAGCTGCAGAGGGGTTGCGCACTTATGTGGCTACAGTCCTTCGGCAAACGAGAATCCTTGAGGTCGCCTGGAACTCGTAGCGACTTGGCTAGTCGAGCTTTGCTTGTTTCGCGCTTTGCCTGTTTCGCGCACGCGGGCGTGCGGGCGCGCGTGCTGCGGGACTAGACTTGGGGCCTGGGACAACGCGACACGTGGGAGCAGAATGAGACTGGCAACCCGTTTTGTTTTCCGCGCAGCGCCTGCGGTGGTTCTTGTGTCCGATGGGCTTCGCACCTGCGCCCTCCGGGCGCAGCACGTCATGCATTCTGGCACGTGAACTGCAGCGGTTCTCTGTTACGCGGGTATAGTGTGTCCTATCTATACACTCAGGGCCTTCGGGTTCGTGCTGCTTGTTTCGTGCAATGCTAGTCTCCATCGTGTTTTTGTTACAGGCTCTGGGCAGCGCGAGTGGCCAGCGGCATCCATCGTTGTAGGTCTTCGTCGCGTTCGATGATGGCGCCGTCTTCGCCTTCGCTCATCCCGGGCTTCGCGGGAGTTGCTTGGGCTGGTTCAGTTGGTGAGGACCGGGCTCGTAGTGCGCGTTCTGTCCCGCGGCGAAGCCGCGCCTGAACACGGGGACTTGACTGTTGCATGAACATGTCTTGCACTGACGGGTCTAGGCAGAATCTAAGAGTTCGCCGAGCCCGCAGCTCTAGAACTCGAAATTACTTCCGGCAGTGGTCCGGAACAGTGGAGCGCGAAGTGTTTCACGCTTCGCTGTTGCGGAACCTTCGTTTGGCTGCTGCGGCGAGGAGCCGGAATTTGCTGAGGCGACGCACGAGTGCTCCTGCCTGCTGCTTTGTGACTCACACGGGAGCACGCTTGCCTAGGTCTCCTCGCGGGAGCATCGTGCAGGCTAACTACCCACGGCATGCTCTCGAGTTCTAAGATGTATTTTACAGCTCGAACCGAAAGCTGGGCGATTGGACCCCTTGACAGGTGAAAAAGTTATTGGGCTTGAGGCTGGGGCCCTGCGCGCGAGCTGCTTCTCATTGACTAAAGGTTTGGTACTGCCCCAGCCCACTAGCAGACACCACAAATCAGACCACAAAAAAACTTTCAAGGTAAATGGAGATCTCAATGACTTGATTCTCTGTTTCCCTTTTCAGAACTAGTAACCCAAAGCTTACAAGGCCTCTCAGCTCTGGGCTGAGTTGCTGGGCCTGGAGCCTGGGCCCTGGCCCCCCCGGCCTGCCAAGACTAGTTCCAATTTGGGGCCCTTGACCTTGATTTTGGGCCCGATTTGCTGTTCCAGTTGTGTTTTCTTCAGGTTCCAGTTGTGCTTTTTTGTGGTGGGGTTTCGCAGTTTGTGGTCCGATTTGTGCTTCTGGTTTTCAAACCAGTTGTGCGACACTCTAAACACCACAGGTCTCCAAAAGGTCAAGGGGTGTCAAGGGTAAGCCTGCTCTCAAGCTCCGTTTTTACTGCTTTCCCAGGCACGGCGCTTACTTTATATGTTCAAGTAGCGGTGCAAGCACAAGAGACAAAACATGGAAGACCAGAACGAGCTCGCAGCCAGCGAGAAATGATATTTCTGTTCCTCTTTCTTGGAGAGTCCTGCTCCATGCAGCTCCGGTGGATGCGTAAAGTGCAGCTAAGCCCGTGTGCTCGCTCATAGATGCTCCTCATCGTCCTTGGCCAGAGCCAGGTTCTCGGCGGTCTGGCCCTGCTCGTGAGTGTTACTGCCGTATACCGCCGAAATGTGACGCATCGCAGAATGACCCATTAATCCAGCATGTGGAAATTGACCTTCCCTGAAGTAACCAGAATGACAAATGTTGGCACAGCTACGGGCGTAGAGCGCTGCAGCCAGCTGCTTTGACAGATGGCTCAGCCATGTCCTAGGCAAAGGAAACAAAAACTCGACAGCCTGCAAAATGAGCGCAGTACGAAGGGTTGTAATGGGTCTTGAACCATCAACCAAGAATCTTGAACACTGCCTTGTCCAAGCCCTTCGCAGGATCGATGCCCCAGATACTGTGGCCAGCGGTCCGCTCAGTCTCCGGCCCCCCACTTTGCCCATCAAGCCTTGCGAGCAGCAGCGCTTCTCAATGCCAGCTCAAACCTGCAAGTTCATCACCAAACACGCAGTGAGACCACTCCTTTTTCAACGTTCCTTAATCGGTGCGCAGAGCTAGACGTTTGAGCCCACGGCTCCAGCACGCCTTTTATGTAGAAAGACAAGGTCTCCTGTACAATATACGCATTTCGCACACATCAACTCGTCTACTGGATGTACTCTAAGAGCAGGTCCTCCAAAGACAGGGCGCCGGAGCCATCATAGTCCCAGGAGTCATTCAGTTTCCTGAATCGGGCAGGTTGAATCGCCTGGTTTCCTGAGTCGCGCCCAGTTTCTGAATCAGGTGCCTAGGTTCTTGAGGAATATAGGGGTTTCGGGCCTCGGGTACGAGGCTCAAGGTTGGGGGCGGCGGTTTTTGGGGACAGTCGAAGGAGGAGTGCCGACGTCGGCACTTACAGACTTCACGACAAGTTGAGAAAACACGGGTTCCTGGGCCCAGAGGGGCGCGGCGCTTCAGCCTTTTTTGAGAGAAGCGTCTTCGGTTCTGCCAGGAGGTCTCCGCGTCTCATTCGTTGACAGGGATCCTTGGCTGCAGGTATCTTGATTTGGGATTTGTTGGCGGCTTGGCTTATTGCTGGCTTCTGCTGCAGTCAGGTTGCGCTCTGCTGCATCTGACGTCGACTGGCATGCCATCTTGGCACACAGCTGGTTGTCTTGCTGAAGTTGCTCGGCCAAGTTACGAGCGGAAGCAAGCCTGAAGTCGCGTTCACAGTGCCTTACGATCCAAGCGTCGTTGGTGAGTAGGTACACCTCGGCCGTCGAAGCACGCCAGTCTTTTCCGAAGCTTCACCTGTCTAGTATATTTTCTATAAATTATTCAAATTTCTCTTGGGCAGGAAGGGGGGCTGTGGTGGGGCGAAGATCGTGGCACAGTTGCCTGTGGAAGGTGACCATGCGTTGTCGTACAGTGTGAACGGGCTGTAATTGGAAGTGTAGGTGTAGCCACCGACGGTGAAGCTGAGGGGATGGGTTTCCAGCTCCCCATGGTGAGGGCCCCTCAGAGGGATCTCCTGCAACTGGGCCATGATGCTGTGATGATGATGATGCTGTGAACCAGAGTTTCAGAGATAGCAACGGCATTCAAGCAGTTCGGAGCCACTCCAAGCACAACTGGCCTACCAGCTGCCTTACCATGCCCTACCAGCTGCCCGACCAGCACCGGGCTAAGGGTTTTATGGGGATTGCAGGGTTTAGCGGCAAGGGTTTTAGGGTTTAGGGGCTCTTAGGGGCTTAGGGTTTAGGGCTTTAAGGGCTCTTGGGGGTTTAGGGGCTTTAGGGTTTTTGGGGTTTTAGGGGTTGTCGGGCTTAGGGCTTTAGGGACTTTATTATGATTCAGAGCTTTAGGGGCTTTTCGGGACTTTAGGGCCTTTAGGGGCCTTAGGGGTTTTAGGGGCTTTTCGAGGTTTTTGCGTTTAGAGTTTCGAGCTTTAGGGTTTGAAGGGGTTTTAGGGTTTAGGGCCGAGGGTTTAGGGTACAGGGGTTTAGGGCTCAGGACTAGGGTTAAAAACCCCAAAGCGTGAACCTTGAGCCCTAAACCCTCAACCCTAAATCCCAAACCATAAACCATAAACCCGGAACCCCAAACCCTAAACCCAACCCTTATTTCTTGGGGTCCAGCGACTCGGGCGCTGCGGAATCACCATGCTCACGCGGATGCGCTGGGCCGGGCCGAGGCGGGTCGCGTAGCGTTAAAATTACGGAAAACAGAATAAACAAAAAAGAACTCTTTGGAACTTCGGCCCTAGACAGCTACGAGCGGGCGATGCAGAACTCTCAGCATCAATGGGTTCTCTCACAGCATCGAAAAAGGGGTTTAGGGTTTAGGGTTTAGGGTTGAGGGTTTAGGGTTTAGGGTTTAGGGCCACCACCAGCAAGCCCCTTTGAGGTGGCGACATCCCGGCCATGCCCTGACTTACGGCTTAGGGTCTAGGGTTTAGGGTAGTTACATGGGCCCTTAGTATGGTCCCTTGCCCCCTTTAAAGGGTTCTGAAGAATGGGCCCTTGGGTTGTGTAGGGTATATAAGGGGTATATAAGGGGTCCCCTTTTATGGGCCAGGACTCCTAAGCCTTAAGCCCCTAAAGCCCTCAAAGCGCTAGACCCTCAAGCCCCTAAACCGTGAACCCCTGAACCCTTGAAACCCTAAATCCCTAGAGCCTTGACCCGAACCCCCAAAACCCAAAACCCTAAACCCCTAAACCTCCAAAACCCCGTAGGCCCTAAACCCCAAACCCTAAACCCCCCTAAGCCCCTAAAGCCCCGAAGCCCCCGAAGGCCCCAAACCCCAAAAGTCAAGGGCGCAGGCTTGCCGAGGCGGACATCGCAAGGCAGCCGCACCAGGCACTGGCCTTGTCTATCTGAATAGAGTTTACGGTCTAGGGCTGTTAAGGCCTTTAGGGCTTCTAGGGCGTTTAGGGCTTATCGGGTTTCGGGCTTACAGGGCTTTTAGGGCTGAGGTTGGGATATTGCTGCTTATGCTAATTTGTATGATAATCCCAATTAAGGACTGGTGGTATACAAGGACTGCTAGTATAAGGGGGAACATCCCAAGGTTTAGGGTATAGGGCTTACAGGGCTGAAGGGCGAGGTCCCAGGGCTAACGGTCCAGGATTCAGGGTTCGAGCCTATAGATGTTTCGGGTTTTAGGGCTGGAGTAAACCCTACACCCTAAACCCTAAACCCTAAACCCTAAACCCTATAAACCCTAAACCCTAAACCCTGAACCCCGGTTTCAGAGGTTCAGTTTTCTTCCCTTGTGACACGAATCCTGGTTCCGGAAACCCCATTTAACGTTCCCCACATCCCGCTCGCCTCGAAGCCCTTTGGGCAAAAGCCGCTAAATTCCTGAAGCCCAAAAAAACTAAACCTGTAACATCCTAGAGCGCCGTTGAAGTTGAGAACGTTCAGGGCTTAGGGCTTAGGGCTTAGGGCTTAGGGCTTAGGGTTTAGGGTTTAGGAAGTAGGGTTTAGGGTGGTTTAGGGTGGTTTAGGGTGGTTTAGGGTGGTTTAGGGTGGTTTAGGGTGGTTTAGGAGGGTTTAGGGTTTAGGGTTTAGGGTTTAGGGTTTAGGGGCTGAAACATCCCTGAAAGCACAAAGCTTTGCAGACTGAACTTCAGCTCCGCACCCACGGGCGTGATCACGTACCTCAAGCCACCAGTTTGATAGGGTTTAGTTGTTGGGGTTTAGGGTTTAGGGTTTAGGGTTTAGGGTTAGAATTTAGGGTTTAGGGTTTAGGGTTTAGGGTTTAGGGTTTAGGGTTCAGGGTTCCGGGTTCAGGGTTCCGGGCTTGGGTTTAGGGTATAGGGTTTAGGTGTTTGGGATTGGGGGTCTTAGGGTTTTAGGGGTTAGGGGTTAGGGAGTTTTAGGGATTTAGGGCTTTAGGGGTTGGGGGGTTTAAGGTTTTAGGGTTTTAGGGTCGTAGGGGGTTTAGGGGTTCGGGTTTGAGGGCTTTAGGGCTTTAGGGCTTTGGGGTGTTTGTGTTGGGCCTTCGGTCGTGCTTCTGGGCTTACACCGCTTGGAGACCCTGTGTGGAATTCCGCAACTCCTGCGTTGCGGTTTCACAAGGCTTGCCTATTTAAAAAAAGGAAACCCCCTGTCAACTGCACTAATCCCAACCCCAAGCACCAAACCCCATACCATCGAACTCTGAACGCTGACATCATGGCCCTCACCCTACTAACACCATTCCTAAATCGTCACTGACGTATCCCCGTAAGTGGGTTGACGGTTTAGGGACTAGGGTCTTCACTGAAGGTCCCTGAACGTGGTACCCCAGTAACCATATTATAGTAAGGGTACCCTTTTTTACTCTATAGGGGTTACCATGAACCGACAGAAGAGCAAAGGGTACCACTGGGCCACCAAGTAAACCCCAAGTAAACCCGGCAGCCCGAAGCCCTGGCCAAGCATCGTCCTCGTCGCGGCTCCATCGCGGGGCATCGGGCGGCCTCACCTCAGCGAAACGGTTTAGGGTTTAATTAGGGTTTAGGGTTTAGGGTTAGGGTTTAGGGTTTGGGGTTTAGGGTGTAGGGTTTAGGGTTTAGGGTTTAGGGTTTAGGGTTTAGGGTTTAGGGTGTGCCAAGCCTGACGCGCGGCTGCTTGTTGCCCGCCCGACCCTCCCGGTGTTCGTTGTGTAATCAATTTTTCTTTTTTTCTTTTTCTTACCCCCTTCTCTGAATTACAATCACGTCGCGCGGACGTTGAGTTGTAGCCGAAGGATGCAACTTAACTTGCGTGCAGATGTCTAAGAGAAAAGTTATTGGAGAAACCTGAGGGAAGTTTTCCTCCGAACGGGCCGCCGCCAGAATAACAGCACGAGGTTCTTGATGAGGTGACACGGTCCAGATTACGCGAGACAACGATCGGAGCAGAGACAGAGTCCGGGTTGCCCGTGAAACTACCTGGCTGCCGCCAGAATAGCAGAACATCGGTTGGAACAACCCGAGCAGAGAGCTGGGGTCCAGGTTTCACATGAAACCATGTGGCTGCCGCCAAAACAAAAGATGGTGGGTCCAGATTGTTTCTCTCGGGCCAGGGTCCGGGTTTTACGTGAGACTACCTGGCTGCCGCCAGCAAAACAAAGACGTCGCTTCCTCTCAGAAGAGACCAGCATGCACGTCATGTCTGCAGGATCCGTGCGCAGATGTCTACCGGGACACAACGGCACCGGCGAGCAGAAGACTCAGGCAAAAGTTCGCTTCAATGACTCACGGTGAACGCTGCTTCCTCTGCTAGCTGTCCGCTACAGCTCCCGGTTGCCCCTAATTTTAGCAAAACCCTCTTCCAATCGATATGAAAAAATGGATCAGAACTAACAGTGAAGAGATCCGCCTGCATAGACCCCAGTGGTTCAATATCCCCCCGAATATCGAGGACTACGGTTGTCATGTTCATGCTTCTGAGCATCTGTAGGTTGCAACTGCTGAGTTGGTTGTGGCTGCTACGTATGCCTTTGGAAACCGAGTTATGTTCGATGATTTAGCCTTTTTCTTGGTTCGCCTGTTGGTACTCCTGCGGTGGTGACAATCTTGACCCTTGCCGTCTGAGATTTTGCTGGGGGGGGTCCCTAGCTGCCGCCAGAAAAAAATAATCCCAAAGGTCTAGCAATGTCCGAAAAGCTCAGAAATGGTTCGGGAAGTCCGAACAATCTGAGAAATGGTCCCGAAAATGTTCAGGACTGCAGAAAATGGTCTAGGAGACGCCCGAAAAGGCTCGACCGCCAGTTAGGGGGCCTTTTTGAAGCTTTTTGAAGCCTTTGGATGGCTCTTGGGGCCTCTTGAAAGCTTTTTGGGGCTTTGCTGGCCCTTCTGGGGAGTACCTAAAAACAAGCGATTACAATGCTAAAAAATCGCACTTTTAATTGCGGGGTACGGGGAAAGCCTGGGGTCACCCTTTTTTAGAGACCTTTTGAAGCCTTTTGAAGCCTTTTGGTGCTTTCGTGGCCCTTCTGGAGTAAAATGGAGGTGTGCCCAAAACCATACAAAGAAAACCCCACAAGGTCTAGCAATGTCCGAAAAGCTCAGGCCTGGAGAAATGGTCCCGGAGAAGCCCGAACAGGCTCAAAAATGGTCCGGCGGGAGAAACCCGACAAGGCTCAGAAATGCCATTCAGAAACGGTCCGGGTAAAGCCCGAAAAGTTCTTTGTGAGGTAAACTTCCCCTCTCAATGGGGGGGTCGGAGTTTTGAGCAAGGGGGGTCTCCGAATACTAAATTGCTTTGAAAATGGAAAAATACGACCCCCCCCTTGACCAAAATTAGGCCGTGAAAAGGTCGCGGGGGCGGTTAAAAACCTTGAAACATCCTGAAAACATTGAAAAACCTTCAAAAGCATTGAAAAACGCTGAAAAACCTTGAAGAACCCGGAAAAACTTGAACGAGAGCCCACCCAGAACCGTCGATCTCAGTACTAAAAAATCGCATTTATAAAACTGGGATCCGGGCCGATCGTGGGGTCCCCCTCATTTGGAGTGTTTTTGGAGGCAAACTTTCCCTCTAAGGGGGGGTCGGAGTTTTGGCAAGGGAGGGTCCCCGAATACTAAATTGCTTTGAAAATGGAAAAATGCGACCCCCCTTGACCAAAATTAGGCCGTGAAAAGGTCGCGGGGTCATCGGAATTGGGTGTTTTTGGAAGCAAACTTTCCCTCTCAAGGGGGGTCGGAGTTTTGAGCAAGGGGGTCCCCTAAAAGGCTCCCAAGCGGCTTGAAAAGCTCTCAAAGGAGCTCTGGGTACTTCACAAAGCACTGGGAAGCCTCCGGGTGGCTTGTAGGCTTGAACTAGATTTCCTTTCGGGAATGGGGTTGAAGTTTACAGGTCTCATCTTTATTAGTCCCATGAGGGGGGCCTTGCCTAGGAGGAGAGGGTGTGTCTTGACGGCTCCTGATCGTCGCGAGGCCGCTTCGCGACTAGGTCGCGCTCGCGGCCAAGACTTTAGGGTTTAGGGTTTAGGTTCAGGGTTCAGGGTTCAGGGTTTAGGGTTTAGCGTCTAGGGTTTAGGGGCCAGGCCAAGCTGCACAGGTCGCTTGATCATCATAGGGGGTTCCATGATGATAGGTATGCGCTCCAAAACCCTAAACCCTAAACCCTAAGCCCTAAACCTAAACCCTAAACCCTAAACCCTAAACCCTAAACCTAAACCCTAAACTCTAAACCAAAAGCCTAAACCCTAAACCCTACAACCGTCTCGAAAACTTGGTGCGAATCCCCCTGAACCCACAGCCTGGGCCCCCCGACACCCTCCTCGACCGCCCCAGTGGACCGCAAGGTCGTCACGGCCTGTGGTGCTCTCTTGATGTCTTAGGGTTTAGGGTTTAGGGTTTAGGGTTTAGGGTTTAGGGCTACTGGTTTAGAGTTTAGGGTTCCGCATCTCAAGTCCAGGCATTCACTAGTCAAGCAGCTTGTCAAGCGTTGGAAAAATACCCGTTGCTTGCAACGTACACGTGAAAGATACGGTTTAGGCTTGAGGTCACCCATTTAGGGCTACAAAAAAAAACTCAGCTCCCCCCACCTCCGGCCCCTCCTAAACCTAAGCCCTAAGCCCTAAACCCTAAACCCCAAACCCGAAACCCGAAACCCTAAACCCTAAACCCTAAACCCTAACCCCCCCCCCCCCAAAAAAAAAACACACACACACACACAACCTTGAAGATATCTCTACAATGGGGGGGATTTAATATTGGGGGGTAGGGGGGTTTAATATTAGGGGCAAAAAAAACAACAACCTTGAAGAGCCGAACACGTCTCTCGCCTGGTCGATGCGACTCTTTGGTGGTGGATCCAACGCCTTGCTTTAGGGTTTAGGGTTTAGGGTTTAGGGTTTAGGGTTTAGGGTTTAGGGTTTAGGGTTTAGGGTTTAGGGTTTAGGGTGTAGGGTTTAGGGTTTAGGGTTTAGGGTTTAAGGTTTAGGGTTTAGGGTTTAGGGTTTAGGCGCTCGAACGGGAACCGAGGGTTTGTTTGGGGGGGGTTGGGGGTTTTTGGGCGTTATGGTTCTTGGGTTTTGGGGTTTTGGGCCGGTTTTGGGGGGGTTTTGTGGTTCTTTTGGGGGGTCTTGGGGTTCTTGGGGGTTTGTGTCTTTTGGGGGTTTGTGTTTTGTTGTTTTTTCTTTTTTGGGGGGGAGGGGGGGTGGGGAGGTGGGGGGTGGTGGGTTGTTTTGGGTTCTGTTCTAGGGTTACGGGTTTTAGGGTTTTACGGTTTGGGGTTATTGAATATTTCTGTACAAAAGCGAACTGTTTATAGAACTACCTACTACTGAAAATCCCTCAAACCCTAAACCCTAGAACCCAATCTATTGCAGGAACCGAGGGGTGAGGGTTTCGGGTTGTGGGGCTTTAGGTTTTGAGGGTTGAGGGTTTTTGCAATGTTTACGGTTTTTGGACTTTGGGACTTAGGGTTTAGGGTTGAGGTTTGAGGGCTTCAAGATCTTCCGGTTTTAGGGTTGTGGGTTTGGGGTTCAAGGATTTAGGACTTTGGGGTTTGAAGGTAGAGAGGTTGCGGGTTCGATATTTCCTGAACACGGAGATTCCGACAGGGCTACTCTTTTTGTTTGTTTTTGTTGGGGGGGGGGGGTTCCCACAATAGTGAGGATTACAAGCTTTTTGCTTCGGGAGGTCCTGTATTTCCCAACATGCCCATTCACATTGAAAGGCCCGTATACCAGATCTGGAACTAGCCTGCAATACAACGCAACGCAGGACATGAACATGGAACAGCAGGGCAGAAAAGAAGGTGTGAGGAGAGCGCATGAGAGTCCATCATCTAGGCCAAGGGTTGATTTCAAGACTCTGTGTTGAAGTGAGTGCGCGTGCCGGGTCGCTGAGGGGGAGGTGAAGCGAACGAGTGAGTGGGCGCGTGGCGTTAGTGAGCAGTAAGCTTGGAGAGTGAGCAAGTGCGGTGACCTAGTGAACGAGTTTGGTGAGGGAAATCAGTACAGTAGGACATCAGCAGCTTCCCTGATTCCCCCTTTCACACCCAAGATGCCCACTAACTAGGCGGGAAGTTCCTTCATCCGAAAGGTCCTGGGTCAGAAAATCTTACACCCGCACATAGCATTCTACAAGCCCGAGAGTCCTAAACTTTCTCGATTCCTAAACCCAAAGCCCTCAACCCTAAACCCTAAACCCCAAACCCTAAACCCTAAACCCCTAGACTGTCAAACCCAACACTTACACCCGGAGGGCCTCTGAAAATGAGTTCGGCTGGAGTCCGGAGCTCAGAACCTGGGAAGGGCTCTAGGGTATAGAGTTTCGGGTTCAGGGTTGAGGGTATAGGGTTTAGGATTTAGGGTTTAGGGTTTAGGGCTTAGGATTTAGGGTTTAGGGTTTGAAGGTGGAAGCAAGGCGCTCACCATGGGATCTCGCCGTACTTCATGCCGCTGGTCAGATCCCACACAATGGCTGTCTGACAACTCTCATATGGGAGTTTCTAGAGAAATCACTATATATGTATATCTGTATATATATGTATATGTATATGTACTAAGTTTTGAGGTAGGGGGTTCGGGTGATCGTTGGCCAATCGTCCTCTCATTGCTTAAGCTCTGGTTTCTGGCTTCAAGTCAGGAGTTAGGAGCTAGGCTCTCTAGGGCCTAGGGCATACAGTTCAGGGCTTAGGGCAGCGTTTCGGAATTCGGGTCCAGGGGGTGCCCCCGCCACCCATGTTGCGCTCCCACTCCTCAAAAATATCCCTAGACCCGAAGACTAAACCCTACATCCTAAACCCTAAGCCCTGAACCCTATCCTTGCCCTAAACCCTAATCTTGGTTGTCCAGTAACCTGGGGGAATTAACGGTTAACCTTTGGGATTATAAGGGGATTTTAAGCATGTCCAAAAAGGTTAAACGTTCCCTACTCTACTACTAGGTACTCTCCGAGATGCCAGCCGAAAGCATGAGCTCCATCAAGGAGCAGCGGAGAATCTCCGGCGTCGGCATCTCCTACAACAGACTGCTTCGTAGGGGGTTGGGAATTCGGCTTAGGGTTTAGGGCCCGCGCCCTGAACCCCGAAGCCCAGGAGCCTGGGGCTAGGAGCCAGGGCCGAAGGCCCAGGGTTTAGATGATGGTTTAGGGTTTGCGTGCAAATTTCGAGCTGGGGGTGAAGGATATTGGGCTGCGGATCCTTCGCTTACTCCCTAAACCCTAGACCCCAACACAAACCCTCAACCCTAAACCCTCTCTGTTTCTTGCGACGACTTGTGCGAACTCGGAAAGCGGAAGTACGGAAACCGATATCGCCCCCTCAAAAGCGGATGCAAACCCGAAACCCTAAACCCCGAACCCGAACTAACCTCGAAGCGCTTTGCCCTGATAGCTCCTGCAGCCTCATGTTGAAGCGGCTCTTGGTGAGTAGCGTAAAACCTGCCAACAGAGCGGCGTTGCTCGCGAGCTTCGGGGGGCAAGGTAGGGTTTAGGGTTTAGGGCTTAGGGCTTAGGGCTTGGGGCTTAGGGCTTGGGGCTTAGGGCTTAGGGTTTAGGGTTTGGGGTTTAGGGTTTTGGGTTGGAGCCAAGGCCCCAAAGCAAAACGCCGGGCGGGCCAAACCCTTCACGAACGCGGCCAGCTCGTCCTCGCCTTTGCAGCACCTCATGGCCAGGCTTAGGGTTTAGGGTTTAGTTAGGGTTTAGGGTTTAGGGTTTAGGGTTTAGGGTTTAGGGTTTAGGGTTTAGGGTTTAGGGTTTAGGGTTTAGGGTTTAGGGTTTAGGGTTTAGGTTTAAGGGTTTAGGGTTTAGGGTTTAGGGTTTAGGGTTTAGGGTTTAGGGTTTAGGGTTTAGGGTTTAGGGTTTAGGGTTTAGGGTTTTGGGGTTTAGGGTTTAGGGTTTAGGGTTTAGGGTTTAGGGTTTAGGGTTTAGGGCTTTCAAGATCCTTCAGGTAGAAAAAGGGCCATATTAGGAGTATAGTAGGGGGAACCTTTAGGGGTACAGCCTTCGGGGGTACGAGTCTTAATCCCTTCATTCTGGAGCCTTAGGGTTCAGGGTTTAGGGTTTAGGGTCTAGGGTCTAGGGTTTAGGGTTCAGGGTCCTGCTCGGTCCTTACTCTAGCCAAAATTTAGAGGGTTCTAGGGGGTAGGTTTCCTAAACCCCAAGCCCCAAACCCTGCGCCCTCAACCCTGAACCCTGTGTATGACCCTATGTTACCTGCCAGCCCTTCATGTGCTACAGGTTTAGGGTTTCGGGTTTAGGGGAAGCATTCTGGTGTTTCATTTTAGCGTTTTGGGTTTGGAGTTTAGGGTTTGGGGGGGGGGGGGGGGGGTGTAAGGTTCCTAACCGTAAACCGCAAACCCTGAACCCTGAACCCTAAAACCTAAACCCCTAAACCCTTTCCCGCCTCGGCTTTAGAGATGAACTGCTCTTTCAAGGAGGACGTGTTGGAGGGCTCGTGGTATCGCTGGCCTGTGGACGTAATCTTGCGGAAAGACCCTAAAGACTAAACCCTAAACACTAAACCCTAAACCCTGATCGAGCTTATGTCCGAGACTTTTCGGGTTGCGAACAACCCTAAGCCCCAAACTTCCTGAGCCCTAAACTCTCTAAACACACAAATCTCCCTGAGCCCTAAACCCAAACTTCGTGGAGCCTTGAGAGTTTAGGGTTTAGGGTTTGGTGTTAACCTTGGCCCAGCCAGATCGGGGTTAAGCGATTTCAGGGTGAGAGTTCAGGGCTTTGGGGGTTGTGGTTGGCTGTTGCTGTAGCTCTGGAGTTCAGAGTCTTAAGCTTTTGAGTGACTTTGGAAAGCAATTCCTAGGATTTCCCCCGGAAACATTCTGAAATACATTCCTGAACATGATGGGTTTAGGGTTTCAGGGTTTCAGGGTTTCAGGGTTTAGGGTTTAGAGTTTAGGAGTCAGCTTCAAAGCCAGAGTTTCCTGTCAACCCTAAACCCTAAACCCTAAACCCTAAACCCTAAACCCTAAACCCTAAACCCTAAACCCTAAACCCTAAATGTTGAGATGCTTGGGCCGAGGCATTTCACCTTCCCAGCGTCCACGACGAAAACGACGTCCGGAATCGTAACGCCGGTTTCGGCGATGTTCGTGCCTCACTGCGCTGTCTGCTTGGTGGGGGAGAGGGTTTAGGCTTAGGGTTTAGAGTTTAGGGTTTCGGGTCCTGCCCGGTCCTTGCTCTAGCCAACCCTAAACCCTAAACCCTTTACCATACTAAGAGCACACGACTATGTGCTACACACTAGCGTGTTGTGTTAACTTAACTTTAGGTTCCTCTAAGACTTGGCAGCCCAGTAACCATATGAAAAGAAAATAGGGGCACCCTTTTTTGGGTTGGTTATTTTCTCAGGGAACCCATAACAAAAAAAAAAAAAAAGGGTAAAGGGTCCCACTGGGCTACCAAGAAGAAGAGCCCCCACCACCTGGACCCGGGGCTCGGACTCAGCACAATCTTCCTAACGCCTGGACGGGGTCGATCGAAGACCTGGGAAGACGTCTAGGGTTTAGGGTTTAGGGTTTGTTTAAAGGTTTAGGGTTTAGGGTGGCCGAAGTGGGTTTGACTAGGGATCAGGATCTGGTGTATGTTTGGGGTTCAGCGTTTAGGGGTTTGCTTGGAGTTTGAGAAATAGGGTTTAGGTGCTCAGGGTTTAAACTTACGTGTGTGCGTACGCGTGGTCGCATCTCTTCTTATTTTTTTTCTTCTTCTTCTTCTCCTTCTTCTTCTTCTTTTCCTTCTGCACGCTTGAGGGCCTCCGGCACAGGACCCGGCCGGTTGCATCTCTCTCGCTCTCTCTCTCTCTCTCTCTCTCTCTCTCTCTCTCTCTCTCTCTGTGTCTCTGTCCGTCTCTGTCTGTGCAGTCTCGGCTGCAGGGGAGAGGGGGTTGAGGGTTGAGGGAAGCACTGAGAAACTAAACCCTAAACCCTAAACTAAATCCTAAACCCCAATCCCACACACCCTAAGCCCTGCTGGCACCCGTGACCCTGGAACTTTCTGGGTTGCTCATGGCCGTAGGGCTACCCTAAGGATCACTTCCAAGCCGTGGCACGTACACCTCATGAGACCAAATGCCTTCAAACCTGAAACCCCTCAGGGTTGAGGGCTTAGGGTTTAGGGTTTGGGCTTAGGGTTCAGGATTTTCGGGTTTGGGGTTTGGGGTTGGGTTGCCCTCAGCCCTCAAAACCCTAAGGGGTCACTATATAGTAGCTTTATGGCCCAAGCATATACTAGATAGGTACATGGATCCATACTGACCCCTCTGCGGTTTAGGGTTTAGGGTTTAGGGTTTAGGGTTTAGGGTTTAGGGTCAAGGAACAATGATTTGAGTGCGGGGCCTTTGCGTGATCTTCGCCACTCAGCATGCTATGGAGGGTCAGGACCAGACCTTGGCGATTATGCTTCGGGGGAGTACGACTGTGCTCCGGGTCTTCGAAGATGGGGCCCTCTACCCTAAACTCCCCAAACCCTAAACTCCCCAAACCCTAAACCCTAAACCCTAAACCCTAAACCCTAAACCCTAAGCGGTTGCTCAGCTGAAGGGCGCGGCAGCCACGCCTCTCTGGAGTCTCTGTGCTTCGGGCCGTGGGGGGACGGGGGGGGGGGGGGGGTTTGGAGTTTAGGGTTTAGGATTTAGGGGTTTAGGGTTTAGGGTTTAGGGTTTAGGGTTTAGGGTTTAGGGTTTAGGGTTTAGGGTTTAGGGTTGGGGCAGAACTTCCTTCCCCCCTTATACTAGACGGCTATACTTCCGTGACAGTTTGTGCGAAGGATGTGAGGATGTTTTGTCTCGTCACATTTGGTGATTCTGAAGAGGGAGGTTTCTAAGCACTAAACTGGTAAACCCAAAACCCTGAAACCCAAAACGCCCCAAAACGCCCCAAAACCCCCAAAACCCTAAAACCGCCTAAGAGAAGCCCGAAAACCCCCCCAAAAACCCCTAAACCCCCCAAAACTCCCCAAAAAGCCCCAAAACCCCCACCACAAACCCCCAAAACCGCAGAATGCCGGGCACGTGCTGAAACCCCCGAAAACAGCCCCTAAACCTTAAACCCTAAACCCGAAACCCTAAACCCTAACCGAATGCAGAGTGCCAGGCAGGTGCTGGGATCGCTGAAGAGCGAGTTGCTCCTCAGGCGCTCGTGCATCTTCGTGATCTCCATCATGCCTGGCCTCGGAAGCTCGGGTTCGGAGTTTGGAGTTTGGAGTTTGGGGTTTAGGGTTTAGGGTTTAGGGTTTGGGGTTTGGGGTTTGGGGTTTGGGGTTTGGGGTTTGGGGTTTGGGGTTTGGGGTTTGGGGTTTGGGGTTTGGGGTTTAGGGTTTATTAGGGTTTAGGGTTCAGGGTTCAGGGTTTAGGGTTTAGGGGGGTTTAGGGTTTAGGATTTAGGGGTTAGGGCTTAGGGCTCTAGGGTTTCGGGGTTTAGGGTTTCGGGGTTTGTGGTTTGGGGCCTAGGGTTTGCAAAAATGATTCTTCCAATCTGTTTTGGGTGTTTAGGGTTTAGGGTTTAGGGTTTAGGGTAAGGTTTCCAACAAATGAAAACCTGCAGCTCTGGGGACCCGGACAAGAACACGAGGACCGCACCGTCGTGCCGAGCCACGCCGGAGAACTGGTTCGAGCCCTTCAAGGCATCATGGTTGGGGTACTATTGAAAATGACCATTCTTGTTCCTTATTGGGTTTAAGTACTCATAAACAACGTAGAATCATTCTCAAGTTGTGGGAATTGTGGGCGGTTTGGGTTATTTTGGGGCCCTAAGCCACCCTAAACCCTACAAGGCTATTATAGGCCACGGAGCCACCCTAAACCCTAAACCCTAAACCCTAAACCCTAAACCCTAAACCCTAAACCCTAAACCCCAGTGACCTCGAATTTACGAGGGTTTATCATGCGGATGGCAGGGTTTCACCGCTTCAGCGGTTTGCGAGTTGACTGAGGGCTGGGGGCTTAGGTGGATTTGGAAATGGTTTAGGGTTTAGGGTTTAGGGTTTAGGGTTTAGGGTTTAGGGTTTAGGGTTTAGGGTTTAGGGTTTAGGGTTTAGGGTTTAGGGTTTAGGGTTTAGGGTTTAGGGTTTAGGGTTTAGGCCCCAAAGCCTAAACCCTAAACCTTAAACCCGAAACCCGAGTTGAGCCTTCGGGCCTTCGACAGAACACCCCAAATCCTCGTTTCCATGCCGAAGGGCAGGAGGGCATGGCATCTACGGCTTTAGGGTTTAGGGTTTTAGGGTTTGGGGTTTAGGGTTTTAGGGTTTTAGGGTTTAGGGTTTTAGGGTTTAAGGTTTAGGGGCAAGCCAGCCTGAACCTGAAGTCATTACACCCAACGCGTCATTCCAAACCCCAAAGCCGCGATGAATCCTGAAACTTGATGCCCTACAAGCCCTAAACCCCCAACCCTCAACACTCAACTCCACCCTTGAACCCAGCCGCCTCGATGTACTCAAGGAGCAACTCGATGAGGTCGTAGTTGATGCGCGAGTGATCCTGGGCCGTTGGCGTCTACTCCTTTGTGCCCTAAATGGAGATGGTTTAGGGTACGGTAACCCCTAAACCCTAACCCCTAAACCCTAAACCCTAAACCCTGGCATCTCCTCTCAGCGTTTAGCGTTTGGGGTCCACATGGCTGGCACACTTTGGGCTTGCTGGCACCGTCACTCCAGGGCTTAGTATCGGGGGTTGAGGTCGGCTCAGGATTTAGGGTTTAGGATTTAGGGTTTATGGTTTAGGGTTTAGAGTTTGGGGCTTAGGGTTTAGGGTTTAGGGTTCAGGATTTAGGGTTTAGGTTTCGGGACTAGGGGTTGGGACGCCTAGGGTCGCTTGAATGACGAGCGGGGTGCGCAATTAGAGGCTTGCGGGTTCAGCTTTTCAGGCATCCACAAGCCTAAGCAGGCATTCCACGCTCGAGCCATCAACCCTCAAAGCCAATAACCCAGAAGAAAACCCCTTACTAAACCCAAAACCCAAAACCCTGAACCCTGAACCCTAAACCCTAAACCCTAAACCCTAAACCCCTAAACCCCTAAACCCCTAAACCCCTAAACCCCTAAACCCTAAACACCGCAAGGCCCTAAACCCGACAAGCTAGGGCCCGGCACCATGTAGGACAAAGCTCGCAGCGTCTCCGCCTTGGTAGTTTAGGGTTTAGGGTTTAGGGTTGAGGGTTTCGGGCTGAGGGTTTCGGGTTTAGGGGGTTCGGGTTTAGGGGGTTTCGGAAGTTTAGGGGGTTAGGGAGTTTCGGGGGGGTTTTGGGGGTCAGGGGGTTTTGGGTTTAGGCTGTTCAGGGGGTTTAGGGGTTCAGGATTCGGATTGAGGAGTTTGGGGTACAGCGTTTAGAAGTCCGGGGGTTATGGAGTTGAAGCTTAGGGCCTCTTGGAGCCCTAAAGCCCTAAGCCCTGAAGCCCTAAAGCCCTCCAGCCCAAAGCTCTAAAGCCGTAGGCCCTAAATCCTAAACCCTTAAACTCTAAAGCCCTAAAGCCCTAAAGCCCTGAAGCCCTAAAGCCCTAAAGCCCTAAAGCCCTAAAGCCCTAAAGCCCTAAAGCCCTAAAGCCCTAAAGCCCTAAAGCCCTAAACCCTAAACCCTAAACCCCAACCCTAAACCCTAAACCCTAAACCCTAAACCCTAAACCCTAAACCCTAAACCCTAAACCCTAAACCCTAAACCCTCAACCCTAAACCCTAAACCCTAAACCCTAAACCCTAAACCCTAAACCCTAAACCCTAAACCCTAAACCCCGATCCCTCCGGCACAGCCTCATAGACCTCCGGATCGCACATCTCGGCCTCGTCGTCGCAGCCTCGGGCTAAACCAAGAGGGCGGGTGTAGGGTTTAAGGTTTAGGGTTTGGGGTTTGGGGTTTAGGGTTTCGGGTTTAGGGTTTAGGATAACCCAAAACCCGTAAACTCTACACCCCCTAAACCCCAAGCCCTGAGCGCTTGGGCTTAGCGGGCTTAAAGAAGAAGGGGCTTTGGCAAGCCTTTTTGTTGCAGAGCCGATAATCAAATCTGACCCCTAAACCCTACACCCTAAACCCTAAACGGGCGCCGCGCCCCAATCCTCCTCTTCATCGACGTAGGCCGTGAGGGTCTGGGTTTTACCCTTCTCGCCAGAGACCTGCTAAGGGTGGAGCCGGGGGGGGGCGAGGGGGGTTAGGGTTTAGGGCTTAGGATTTAGGATTTAGGGTTTAGGGTTTAGTGTTTTAGGGTTTAGGGTCTAGGGGTCTAGGGGTTTAGGGGTTTAAGGGTTTAGGGTTTAGGGGTTTAGGGGTTTAGGGGTTCAAGGGTTTCGGGTTTAGGGTTGAAAAGAGGACAGTGAGCTTCTTGGGGCTTTCGGTCTTAGGGTGCCAATCCCCTCCCCTAATTATTAACCCCCCCCCCTACCCCCTAATATTCAATACACGATTTATAGATATATTGTCGCATATGGGGAGGGTATTTAATATTTGGGGGTGGGAGGGGGGTTCAATATTAGGCCCCAACACCCGGACCGTGGCCTGAAAGGTCTTCTTCTCAGTGTTCCAGCCACGATTCCAGCCTAAGTTGCGGGGGGCGGACGGGGACGGGGGGGGGACGGGGGGTGGGGGGGGGTGAGGGGGGAATGATATGTACTATGCCAGCTTCCAGGGTCGGGCCTTCTTGCTCACAGCTTCAAGGTGGGCTCGGGTACTCTTTTCCTGCAAGACCGCCACCGAAAGGCAACGAAGCGCTGCATTCGGGGGACATTAGATGGCTTCAAGCAGGATGGGAGTCGCTCCCCGCGATCCGGCCTGAAACTTGAATTGAACGTGTGGGTCCGTCGGCGGTTTTGGTGCCATGAGGAGCAGCGCAAACAAAGAGCTTCGACAACTTGAGGCAATATAGGGGTTTTCATAATTCGAATAGGGTTTTGGGGGCGACTATAGTAGAGTTACTCAAAAAACCATAAGGGAATACTATGAGAAGGAGATGGGTTCAAAGACGGTGTGTCACACGTTTGCTTCGTGCAAACATTAGCTTTCAAGCGATGGAGCACCGCAAGAACTATGGCCAGCATCGTATGGCTTGCCTAAGAATAATCTTCACACTGGAGCAGGGGATTCAGATGCGCCCAGCCCAGCATCGCTGTGTCGTGCATTCCTTGTCCTTCGGCACCTGATCCGGTTTCGGGGGCCGGGGGAGGTAGGAACGGATGCTTTTCAGAGAAGGTTACCAAGTGGAGAGTCGAAGACACAATGCGCAACCCTTGCGACAACGCTACATCCCTGGGACATGTTGGAGCGGGGGGGGGGGGGGGGCCTTCTTCTGTAACGCGAAGCCATATTCAGGGTACCCGAGAAAGGTAGCCCTACATAGCCCTATACACCCACCCGACCCTGGAGTAGGCCCTGGAACAGAAGTTTACGTTTAGGTATTATAAGTAGCGATAATAGGAATCCAGAACCAAAAAGTAATAAAGTCTAGCACTCCAAAATTCAAACCCTAAACCCTGACCCCTAACCCCAAACCCTAAGCCCTAAGCCCTAAACCCTAAGCCCTAAACCCTAAGCCCTAAACCCGAAACCCTAAACCCTAAACCCTAAACCCAGCCCCAGACCTAGGACCGAGCCTCTCTCTCTTCTCTTCCTGGCAAGGAAGTCCTCACGCGGATCTGCCGCGCGTGGCGCTGCCGCCACCTGCCCAGGTGCTTAGCGCTTGCCTAGGACCCCCAAAGCCTAAACCCCAAACCCTAAACCCTACACCCTAAACCCGAAACCCTGAACCCTAGACCCTAAACCCTAAACCCCAAACCCTAAACCCTAAGCCCTAAACCCTAAATACCCTAACCCCTAAACCCTAATTAATCAAACTTTAGTAGGTTAGGCAGCTGGAGAGTAGAAGATGCACTACATGCAACGCATGCAACTGCAGAAACTCTTAGGGTTTAGGGTTTAGTTTAGGGTTTAGGGTTTAGGGTTTAGGGTTTAGGGTTTAGGGTTTAGGGCTTAGGGCTTAGGGCTTAGGGTTTAGGGTTTAGGGTTTAGGGTTTAGGGTTTAGGGTTTAGGGTTTAGGGTTTAGGGTTTAGGGTTTAGGGGTTCAGGGGCTTGCTTGCTCACAGGCGTCACCTCCGTACTTCGGGAGGCCTCCTCCCACCCGCAAACGAGGACGGCGCCGGGCGAATGAATGCAGGATTATGTGACCCTCTGACTCCATAGCTCCTGCTCAGGGTTTAGGGTTTAGGGTTTAGGGTTTAGGGTTTAGGGCTTAGGGTTTAGGGTTTAGGACTTACGGTTTCTGATGCTCCAACAAAAGGTGTCCGAACTGCTTGCGCGCAAGGGAACCGAAGAGCAAAAATCGTGAAAAAACATCGCCAAGTCAGCTTTGGGAGGGGACTCCTTTCGCTTTGTGAATTCTAGCTTGGGGTTTAAGAGATTAAGGGACCCTTAAAATAGACTCCCAGAGAGTAGGATCCCCTTATAATAAGGACCCCAAAAACGGTACCCCTCATATCGTAAACCCCCATGTATGGGGGGGGGGACCCTAAACCCTACACCCTAAACCCTAAACCCTAGCCCTATATCCTAAACCCTAAACCCTAAGCCCTAAACCCTGAACCTTAAACCATAGGGTGTACAATTGCTTGATCAACGCTCGGCCGGGCGGCTGTCGGTTTCGTCAAAGAGTGCGCCCAGCTTGGTGGCCGTACTTTTGTCAGCAGCCCAGACCCGGTACTGGCTCAAACAATTAGGGTTTAGGGTTTAGGGCTTAGGGCTTAGGGCTTAGGGCTTAGGGCTTTGGGCTTAGGGGACGAAGGCTTCGTTTCGGGCCTAAGGTCTCTACTGATGCACCCCTCACAATCCTCCAGAAACCATGGGCCTACTCCGGGCCTGCATCATAAAGCGTTTTTACATGCTAAGGCCCACATGCGAAGCTTTACTTTGAGGATTTAGGGTTTAGGGTTTAGGGTTTAGGGTTTAGGGTTTAGGGTTTAGGGTTTAGGGTTTAGGGTTTAGGGTTTAGGGTTTAGGGTGGGGGGGCAAGGGAAAGCTTGGGATTTTGTTGTGGCTTCGTTCCAACAAGCCCGTCGAAAGATTGCCGGCTCAACGGTGCGGAATCGAACGAAATATGTGAACTCGTACAGCCTGGGCGTGGAAACTTGTAGGGGCCAGACTGGTGCTTCGGGGCAGTAGTTTGCTGAAAAAACTCACGACACCTGAACGCGGTTTAGGCTCCGACCCCAAGTGCTACCTGGGAGGGTCAGCGTTGAGGCATGGGCTGTCTGAAATGAAAGTGGCCTGCGATCCTTAATGGATCGAAACCTCTGCAGCCTCAAGCCAACATCTACAAGCAACATAAGCTACTCTTTGCCTAAGAACACCCCAAAACACATGATAATCCCTATATAACCCTTAATAAGGAAGCAAATTCTATTTTTCGCGGGGGGGGGGGGGGGGGGGGGGGGTGTGTCTTACCAAAATAGTAGTAAACCTGAAAACCCTAAACCCTAATGCCTACATCCTAAAACTGCGGATCGAGCCCCGAAGACAAAACCGAAGCAACAGTAGCCGAGGCGGCTTTGCTCGGCGAAGTTTCCCTTGGCGCTTTTATCGCCTGACCAGCTTCGTCAAGTAGGTGCCTTAATAATTAGAAATGGTTTTCTATGTGTATAATATTATTTTTTTCTTTGGGTGGGGGGGGGGGGGGGGTATGAGACTACAATCATAAAGGACCATAAGGGAACAAACAATATTAATCATATTCGTAGCTTTTCCGACCCCTATATTACCTAGATTCTATAAGAATGCAACAATTGCATTTGTGTCTGTCATTGTGAGAGGGTGAGTGAGCGGGTCCACGCTGAGCTGACGCGGACAGCTGAAGAGTTGAAGACGCACTTTGTGCAACCAACCGCCCAGTGGGACGTCGTAGTGCCCTGGTTGTTGCTGACCAGTACATTTCTTTCATTGAGGCTCTGCTGTCTGGGCGGGAAGGGGGGGGGTGCATCCTGATTAAGTCCACCGCAGCCCGCCTTCAAGAGCTCGTCATACGCAAGGTCGTTATCGGGATTCAGATGCCAGGCCCTACTGAAGCACGCCTGAGCAGCAATCACCTTCCCTTGCAACTTCATCACAAGGCCCAGGCCATAAGGAAACGCCGCACTGCTCGGAAACCGCCTGAGACCCTCCGCGAAGCGCTCCTGAGCCTCTTCCAGCTGTCCCTTCGACAAATACTTCACGGTGATCAGGTTGTAGTGGGCGAGGGCGATCGTGGGGTCAATTCTCAGGGTGCGCAGGAAGCAGTCTTCGGCCTCATCCACCTGCCCCAGCTTCCTCTTGCAGCAGCCCAGGTAGCCATAGGTCATTCCAATGTTGGCATCAAGCTCCAGGGACTTCCGAAAGCAGCCATCGGCCTCACCCCACAGCCCCATGAGCAACTTCCGCAGGCCCCGGTAGAGGTAGACAAGGGCCTGGCTGGGGCAACGCTGACAGCGCCGTTCAAATCTCGACAGCTCAGAGAACAGCTCCATGTTCTTGCACAAATCGGGGTCGAGCTCCCGGGTCTTGAGATGGCAGGCGTTGGCCAAATCGATCTGTTCCTGCAAGGACGGCTCCTTCGTGCACGCAGACGACGCTTCAGGCGGGGGCGAGGAAGGCTGGACCAGGGGACGCTGCTTCTCCATAGCTCCTGCGCACTTGGGATACAAACAAACAAAAACCTAAACCCTAAACCCCAAACCCTAAAGCGCGGAAGGCAAGCCAAGGGGCAAGCTTTAGCAGAGAACCCGATACTACCTGAAACTCTAGCTGAGGGAATGAAAGGGTTTTGAGTTTAGGGTTTAGGGTTTAGGGTTTAGGGTTCAGGGTTTAGGGTTCAGGGTTTTGGGTTTAGGGTTGCCGAAAATAAGGGTACCGTACTGGGATCCTTATTGGGGGAACCCTACTGTTTGTGGGTCTACATTAGGGGGTCCCTTGTTTTCGTAAACCCTATACCTCAGGGTCTAAGCTCCTGTGATGAAAGTTCAGCCGGGGGGCTGTCTGCTTCGTCAACTGGTGCGCTTGGTATACAAAGCCCTTCGCCGTCCTGGCACCCAAATACAAAGTCGCAGGTTTCTGAGTTTAGTTAAGGGGTATTAAGGCGGGACCCCTAGAAGGGACCCTTAACCTTATTCCCCTATATAACCCCTATATATGGTACCATATATACCTTATATAATCCCTATATGCCCAAGTAGCCCCGAAATGACCCCTAAATAACACCTCTAGGGTCCCCTAAGAACCCAATGAACCCTAGACCCTCCAGGGGTACTTCTCTAAATTCGAGTCCCTTTTGGGGGTCCTTTTTACAAGGGTACCGTACGAGATTGGAGCACCCAAACGGGGAACCGAATTTAGAGAACTACCCATATAGACAATAGACCCAAAAGTCACCTATAAAACAGTGAACCCCGGAACTCGACCGAACGCCCCAAAACAAGCGAGATCCCATGGTTTAAGGTGTAGGGTTGGGGTTTAGGGTTTAGGGTTTAGGGCTTAGGGCTTAGGGTTTAGGGTTTAGGGTTTAGGGCAGGAGGTGGGGCGGGGGAAAACTTTGGATTGTTTCGTGGCAGTTGGCTGAATACCAACAAACCGCGACCTTCCATTCACGGATAGGCGGCTTAGTAACTAGGCTTGCGAAAACATTATGATACGGGATCCTATGCAAATGCAGCACGAGCTCCCACAATAAAGTGTGGGCTGAACGCCAGGAGATACGAGTGAGATACCCTAAACCCTATACGCTCAACCTTACAACGTCTTCGGCGCAGCCTCTACTCTGTGTTAGCGCTGTCCTTTGGAGAGCTTGCATCTGAGGGGTCTGCTGAGGGAAGACGTGGCGTTCTCTGACTCTGTTCAACGCTGCGCGGTCTTGCGGGAGTTGTCTCGATGTTTTCCTGGTGGATGTGGTCCTCGGAAGGTTGAATCCACAGCATGGAACGGTTGACACCGGGCCTAAACCCTAAACCCTAATCTAGGGTTTAGGGTTTAGGGTATGGGGTTTAGGGTTTAGGGTTTAGGGTTTAGGGTTTAGGGCTGACGGTTTAGTAAACCCCAAGCTGGGGTTTCCTGCAGCGAGACCGGCTGCCCTGGGACGAACTCTCTCGCGTGGGCGTTGAGCGGCTTGTGAGTCACCTCAAGGGTTTAGGGTTTAGGGTTTAGGGTTTAGGGTTTAGGGTTTAGGGTTTAGGGTTTAGGGTTTAGGGTTTAGGGTTTAGGGTTTAGGGTTTAGGGTTTAGGGTTTAGCCCTTCTCTGGCCCTTTAGGGTTTACAGGGCTTAGAGGGTCCAGCCTCTCGGTTTTGCAGGGCTTAGGGCTCCCCAGACCCTAAAGCCTGAAGCCTACCAGCACCCCCAACTACCATTTGAGCAAAATAGTCGGGTTTAGTTTAGGTTTAGGGTCATACAAGTCCCTTTCCTCAAGGGTATTTGAAGGGTGCAGGTAAAAACCTAAACTGCCCTAAACTCTAATCCCTAAATCCTATACCCTAAACCCTATAAACCCTAAACCCTATAAACCCTAAACCCTAAACCCTAAACCCTAAACCCACAAAAATCGCGCCTTGCCAAAGGCCTCCATCTTCTGCTCCATCGCAAGCCGTTCGCTCTGCTCTGGGGTGTCCTCCTGGTTCGGGGCTTGGGCGGGTTGGGGGTTTAGGGTTTAGGGTTTAGGGTTTGGGGTTTAGGGTTTAGGGGTTAGGGTTTAGGGTTTAGGGCTGAGGGTTCAGGGTGGAGGGTTTCAAGCGATTAGGGCAGTAGGGGTTTGCGCTTGGAGTCTGGGTGCTCAAACCCTACAAGTTCTCACGCCCCAACAACCCTAAAGCTGAAGAAAACCCAAACCCTAAACCCTAAAACCAGAAGCCCTGAAACCCTACAAGCTCCACACCCTAAACTCTACAGCCTAAACCCTAAACCCAAAACCCTGACAAAAAAACAAGCTTCCGACACTCCAGGGCTGAACCCTTTTCGCGAGAGCTACAGGCTCGAGCGGCGTTCCTATAGGGCCCTCAATGATTAGGGGTTTGGGGGTCATTATAGTATAACGATAGAGGGACCATAAGGGGAATCCTATTCCTCACTGTTCCGACCCCTATCTTAGGCTTTTTCTGAGGCCCTTACTATGTGCAACGAATCCCTGATCCCTTGCATCGCTCCATGTTGGCGTAAACACAGATTTCCTAAACCCTAAACCCTAATTAAACCCTAAACCACACCCTAAACCCTAAACCCTAAACCCTAAACCCTAAACCCTAAACCCTAAACCCTAAACCCTAAACCCTAAACCCTAAACCCTAAACCCTAAACCCTAACCCTACACCCCAAACCCTGGGTTCGATCCAGGCATCGCTTCTCTGGGGACTTGCCTCATGGAGTGCCCTTTGTAGCGCTCTTAGGGAGTTTTTTTGGGCTGCTCTTGTGATGCTCCGCTTGCACTGTTTGGGTTTAGGGCTTAGGGTTTAAGGGTCAGGGTTCAGGGTTTAGAGTTTAGGGTTTAGGGTTTGGGGTTGGTGTGCGCCGGAATAGGAGCTCCCTGATAGAAGCCTTCGGTCCTAGGTGGCCTTGACAAGCACACTTCCTTCACAGAGTGGTCTGCTGTATGGGCGTGGGTGCGTGCGTGCTCGCGTGCGCGTGCGTGTGTGCGTGCGTGTCGTGCCTTCTCCGGCTCGGCCAGCTCGGCACGCCCGTACGCGTCTTGAGGATCCGTTCCGAAGGGATACATACGAGACCACCTCTCGGCAGCCTGTAGACTCACTGGACCCCAATTCTGGTGGCCCAGGTTATAAGGAAACCATTCGCTGCCCGGTTCAGCCTCCTCCAGTGGGCCCCAGTTCGCGTACTTCTCGACGGTCTGGGCGCAGTGGGCATAGCAGGGGTGAAAGTGCACAAAGGCATTGGAGGCCGGCGCTTCGGGCAGGGTCAGCATCTGCTGGACCGCATGAAGCGGTGTTTCCATAGCTCCTGCACACTGGATGCAGTCAATCAAAATCCTTAAACCCTAAACTTCCTAAACCCTTAACCCTTGACCGCCTAAACCCTTAGCCGCGTCTTTAAAGTGCAGTTTGGGGCGTAAGCAGGTGGGATTGTAGTTCAACCGGGCGGCCGTCTACTTCATCAAACAGTGCGCCCCGCCTCCCGAGCTGGCTTCGGCGTCTTCCAGCGGGCCCCCATCCATATAGTTCATCATGGTATGGTCGTAGTGGGCATAGGTGGGACCATGGAACGAGGGCGACGCGTCAGCCATCATCTTGGGAGGGGGTGGGGGGGGGGACCCGGACTACGTCACCTATGTCACGCGATTACGGTACAAGAATCTGAATCCGCATTCGTGCGTTTAAAACTGTCGATTGCTGTGATCTCTGGGAGTGAGCTTCGACGCTTGCAGAGCGTTCTCCTTCCATAAACCGGCAAGATCCGACAAGGGGCTGCGCACAGGACGCATGCAGACGAAAGCACTGTGAGCAAAAGCAGTCTCCTGGCCCTCAGAAATCACCGGCCCTGAGCCCTAAACCCTAAACCCTAAACCTAAATTAAACCTAAACCCTAAACCCAAGCAGCATGCAACCTCCAGCTGATGTGAGAACTTTCTGTCGAGCAGCTCTTCTTTGCAAACTCACTCTCTTCCTCGCAACGATAGCCTGGAGCCAGTGGTGCAATGCAGGTCCAGGCTGGGTAGGTTTGCCCCGAACTGAGCTGGCATTTTGGCCTTAACCCGAAACCCGATACCCTAAACCCTGAACCCTAAACCCTAAACCCTAAACCCTGAACCCTGAACCCTGAACCCTGAACCTGGGAATGAAGGAACGTCGCAGCCATAGCCTGGTAGCCTAGGACCTGGACTTCTGGACTCAAGTGCCTTGAAGCATCAAGTGGGCTTTAGTTAATGGTTTGGGATTTGGGGTTTAGGGTTTAGGGTTTAGGGTTTAGGGTTTAGGGTTTGGGGTTTAGGAATTTAGAAGTTAGGGTTTTAGGGGTCCAAGTTGCCAGTACTGTCAAGTATCTCGCAAGCGCCCACCCGGAATCATCAGCAACTCCCGAGCAAGACATCGAAGCCAGTAGGCTCGAGAGCCCATACCTTAGACCTTCAACCCCCCAAGCTCCAGGCTGGCCCTCAACCTATCAATCACCCTAAACCCTAAACCCTAAAACTCAGAAAAATCCCCCCCCCCCCCCCCGCCACTCAAGTGCGCAGGGTTTAGGGTTTAGGGTTTAGGGTTTAGGGTTTAGGGTTTAGGGTTTAGGGTTTAGGCTTAGGGTTGAGGGTTTAGGGCTAAGGCTTAGGGTTTACGGTCTGGCCTGTCATCTGCACCACGTCTTCCAGCCAGAACTGCTGAACCTCCAGAGGGGTTGGTGACTCTGAGGCTCAAACCTCGGCTCTGCCAATACATTACGGGGGGCGGAAGGGGGGGGAGGGGCGGGGGGTCCCGAAAAGATGGCTCCATTTAAGACCCTATGAAAACGACCGTAATTATGCTCATAAGCTACCCCAACACGAGGCCTACAGAACTTATCGAGCGCCCGAAACCCTACACTCTAAACCCTAAAACCCTAAAACGCTAAAACGCTAAAACCCTAAAAACCTAAAACCCCAAACCCGAAAACCCTAAAACCCTAAACCCTAAAACCCTAAAACCCTAAAACCCTAAGACCCTAAAACCCTAAGACTCTAAAACCCTAAAACCCTAAAACCCTAAAACCCTAAAACCCTAAAACCCTAAAACCCTAAAACCCTAAAACCCTAAAACCCTAAAACCCTAAAACCCTAAAACCCTAAAACCCTAAAACCCTAAAACCCTCAAACTACATCCTAAACCCTAAAAAAATCACCCATTCAGACTCAGGTGCATCAAGTCCCAACTTCCCAAGACGCTCTTCTTACCCCTCCGAGCGTGAGTCCTGAAACCGCTCAAGCCCTACAGGACTGGGGCTTAGGGCTTAGGGCTTAGGGCTTAGGGCTTAGGGCTTAGGGCTTAGGGCTTAGGGCTTAGGGCTTAGGGCTTAGGGCTTAGGGCTTAGGGCTTAGGGCTTAGGCCTTAGGGCTGAGGGCTTAGGGCTTAGGGCTTAGGGCTTAGGGCTTAGGGCTTAGGGCTTAGGGCTTAGGGCTTAGGGCTTAGGGCTTAGGGCTTAGGGCTTAGCCCTAAACCCTAAACCCAAAACCCTAAACCCTAAACCCTAAACCCTGCAGCTTCAGGGCTCCTGCCGGGAAGGTGCGCCCCGGGATGGAGAGGACCGGGACGGAACTGGGGCCTCGACTGGGCTTGGGGTTCGGAGGGTTTAGGGTTTAGGGTTTAGGGTTTAGGGTTTAGGGTTTAGGGTTTAGGGTTTAGGGTTTAGGGTTTAGGGTTCAGGGCTGGGGGTTTAGAGTTGGGGGTTTGAGGGTTAGGGTCTTAGGGTCAGTTTAGGGTTTGGCGTGCTGAGGGTTCATCAGGAGTTGTAGGGGTCCAGGGAGTTTAGGGAATTCAGGGATTTTAGGGGAGTTCGAGAAATTTTCGGGAGTTTAGGGAATTCAGGGATTTTAGGGGAGTTCAGGGAAATTTTCGGGAAGTTAGGGCTCGGTAACTAGGGATTTGGGAGTTTAGGGAGCGGGGAGTTTGGGGTTTAGGGTTACATTTAGGGTGCTGTTTTGGGGCCTCGAGCCGGTCTCAGCAATTGCGCCTTTCGTGCGGGTTTAGGGTTTAGGGTTTAGGGTTTAGGGTTTAGGGTTTAGGGTTTAGGGTTTAGGGTTTAGGGTTTAGGGTTTAAGGTTTAGGGTTTAGGGTTTAGGGTTTAGGGTTTAGGGTTTAGGGCTTAGGGTTTAGGGTTTAGGGGTATAGGGATTCAGGCTTCAGGAACAAGAAGGCACAGCACATCAAAATGATGAGGGGCTTTGCAAGTTTAGGGCTTTCTTGGTCTTCGGGTTTTGATGGCTTTGGGGTCCAGGGTCGTACGTTTCTACGCCTGTCGATAGGGTCAGTTCTCGAAATTCTGGTCCCTAGAGAAGGGGTGCCGCCGAAACGTAAGCACCCAAAAAGGGCCCCTAAATCCTAAATCCTCAACCCTAAGTATATCTGCTCCACCATGCTCTTTGCTCCATCGAAACTTGGAAACATTCCGGATTCCAATCGCTTGCCTGAGTGTAAGAGCACGCTGCTTGGTAGCCGGTTGGTACTCCCAAAGTGAACTTTGATAGAGACGATATCCACATCGCTCCCTGCTCCAGGTTCGAGACAGTTGTGTTGCTGCCCCTCGCATATAAAAGCTTCGTCGAGAGTTCCTTCTCAACTGGGGTGAGGGTCGACATATCGATCGGTGTTGCTCCAAGAGATTCAATCATCCTCAAGGCTTCTGATCCTGCGAATCAGCAAAGCCTAACCAATTCAGGAATTGATGTTTCCAGGTTGTAAAATCTGGCGGGTGTTGCTGCAGTTCTTATAGTGAGTGAGGGTCAAGCCTGATCCCCAAACCTGGAAGCCGCCAAGAGCCAGGGTTTGGGTGTAGGGTTTAGGGTTTAGGGTTTGGGGTTTAGGGCCTTAGGATCCGAATATGTGACCCAGAGACTCCACGGTAGCCAGTCACTAACGAATATAGAACCTGAGGCTTCTTGCAACCATTGAAAGAAGATTCCTAAACTCGAAACCAAGCCCAACCCCTCGAACTCAAACCTGCACACCCCAACCCTAAACCCTAAACCCTAAACCCTAAACCCTAAACCCTACACCCCAAGCCCTAAACTCTAAACCCGAAACCCCAAACCCCAAGCCCTAACCGCCCTAAACCCGAGCCCAGCAGCTCCCGAAGTACCGGACCAACTTCTCGCTCTCCATGGTGGCCTGGGCGTAGGGGTGACGACTGAGGCTTGGCAAAACGAAGGGTTTGGGGTTTAGGGCTTATTATTTAGGGTTTAGGGGCTTCGGGTTTAGGGGTTTAGGGCTTAGGGTTTATTGTTTAGGGTTTAGGTTAGGGTTGTTTACAGGGCTTAGGATTTTTGAGGGCTTTGGGGTTTGAGGGTTTGGGAGGTTAGGGTTCTTTAGGTTGGGGACCCGCATCCCCTCCCCCACCTCACCTTAATGCTCGTTCTGCTCATTCACACCAGTATCATCACCACACGCCACATGGGGGTTTACGAAAGTACGGGGCCCAGAAAAGCGACCTCAAATAGTAGGATCCCCTTTGAAAAGTAGGATTCCCTTTGAAAAAGGACCCCAATAGTAAGGTACCCCGAATTTCGGAAACCCCCACATCGATGCCAAGATCACCAAGAGAGTCCCAACTGCGAAAGCCAACCAAAACGGCTCTTGACCTTAATTACTCAGGCGCGCAGGTTTAGGGTTTAGGGTTTAGGGTTTAGGGTTTAGGGTTTAGGGTTTAGGGTTTAGGGTTTAGGGTTTAGGGTTTAGGGTTTAGGGTTTAGGGTTTAGGGTTTAGGGTTTAGGGTTTAGGGTTTAGGGTTTAGGGTTTAGGGTTTAGGGTTTAGGGTTTAGGGTGCCGACATGTCTGCCCGCCTCCCTGACTTTGAGATCTGGATGTAGGCTTCAAGGGTTTAGGGGTTCCGCCGACCCCTAGTAGAGACCTCACCATGCGCCTAACTCCGCCCCGTGGATACTTACTGGTGGCTCTGTTGGAGCTCGGTCTTCCGTGTTGAGGGTTTGCCTTCTACGAGCCGGGATTCCAGAAAAGTAATCAGGGCAAAAATCGCCCAAGACCCCCAACCCCAAGAACAACGACGTAGTACATAGAGATCATTTATATGGCCATCATACACATTAGAATAACCAAATGAGTAGTAGTAAGTAGTGGCGATAGCAATACTCGTACTACAGGAAGAGTAATAGTACTTGTAAGCAAGAGTGGAAAGGAGCAGCGATAGTAGTCACAGTATTCATACGGATTCATCGTAGCAATGGCAATACGAAAAACAATACACATAACAAAACCTGAGCCCCAAACCACCAAACCCTCTGGCAAATCACCAATGGCAATACGAAGAATAATATACATAACAACCCTGAGCCCAAGCCACCAAACCCTCACCAAACCCTAAACCCTAAACCCTAAACCCTAAACCCTAAACCCTAAACCCTAAACCCTAAACCCTAAACCCTAAACCCTAAACCCTAAACCCTAAACCCTCTGGCAAAGCCTGTGTCCCGGCAAGTGCCAGGCGCTCATCAGGACCAGGCGCAGGTCCGGACGGGTGCCGCGCACTTGACCTGAAAATTGGGGTTTGGGGTTTAGGGTTTAGGGTTTAGGGTTGGGGGTTTGGGGTTTAGGGTTTAGGGTTTGGGGCTTTTGGGGTTTAGGGTTTTGGGTGTTGGGGTTCGTGGTCTGGGGATTTAGGGTTTAGGGATTTAGGGTTTGTGGATTTAGGGCTTGTAGGCTTTATCGGGTGTGGCCTAAAGCTTACCTTCAGAAACCCACCCGCCCACCTGCCTTTGATATTGCTATCAAACCTCTTAGAGGATTCTTTTAGGCAACCTACTAGACATAGGAACCCCTAAACCCTAAACCTGAATTAAACCCTAAACCCTAAACCCTAAACCCTAAACCCTAAACCCAAAACCCTAAACCGGGGGTCTGAAGGTGCAATCCTGCGATGTCACGCAACATGGGGATTTAAGGCATGGCCTTGAGGGTTTGGGTTTGGGCTTAGGGCGTGGTAGGGGTTTGGGTTCAGGATTTTTGTAGGGTTTAGGGTTTAGGGTTTGGGGTTTAGGGTTTCGGGTTTAGGGTTTAGGGTTTAGGGCTTGGGGGTTCCAGTTTTGGGTTGGGGTCCGCCCGAGGAGGCCACGCAGCAGCAGCATGAGCAGGTCGCAGTCGGCACTGCGCCTGAGTGATGCCCCCAGCCAGCTGGGTCGAAGATTTGGGGTTCAGGGGTTCTAGGCTTAGGGTTCAGGGTTCAGGGTTCAGGGTTCAGGGTTCAGGGTTTGGGGTTTAGGGTTTAGGGTTTAGGGTTTAGGGTTTAGGGTTTGGGGTTTAGTAAGGGTTGTGTGAAGAACCTTGGGGGCTCCTTTCCCTGATCTGCCATCCATATCCAAACCGTCAGCTGATGAAAACAGAGGCCTGGCGTGCCCATCTTGAGCAGTGGATCAGTTCTGCCATCACTCGGGCTCCCACTCATGGACCTCGTCGATGAAGATGTGGGTGACCTCTTCAGTTGCTAAACATGACCGAAATCCTCCAAGTCTTGAAGATCCCCGAACCTAATACCCTGTAGTAGGACCCCAACCCTCAACCCTACCGCATTGGGCCTCGCGCTATCTTGAAAGATAGTGGCATGCTCTACAGCCTGATAACGTACATTTCCCCCTGACCTGAAGCCAAACGTCCCCGAAGCCCCCCAAACCAGGCGAAAAGAATCTCAAAAACCAACCAGCAAATACTCTAAACACGAAGATTGGGATGTTCCCCCTTATACAAACAGTCCTTCCAAGGGATTTGAGTACCCCCGGTAAGAATCCGGATTTAGGATTGATAGTAGAAAGGGGAACATCCCAACCTAAGACCCTAAGCCCCAAAAGCCGTCCTAAACCCTAAACCCTAAACCCTAAAAGCCGTGGCGTTTCAACTGAATGCTCTCAGCCTTGGCAAGAGCCCCAAGGCCCTGTTGTAGCTGGCGCAGAAGCACGCCCACCTCGGGGGTTTAGGGTCTGGGGTTTAGGGTTTCGGGTTTCGGGTTTCGGGTTTGGGGTTTAGGGTTTAGGTTTTTGGTTTTAGGGTTTAGGGTTATCATAGGGCCTACAGGGGGTTATCTTTCAGGCTTCGTAGCGTCTCTAGGGCTTCTGGGGGACATAGGGTTTAGAGGGCTTAAAGGGGTTATAGGGCTTATGGAGTTTATAGGGCTGAACCTGCTTATCGGGCTTTTTGTAGGGGTTGCTGGGTTATAGGGCGTACAGGGGCTTTATGGGGCTCATGGGGGTTTCTGTGTTGACAAAAGGGGGCTTGGGAGTAGGGGCTTAGGGTTTAGGGTTTACGGAATTTGCATCGGTTTTGGTTCTAGTAGGGTTAGCTGTTTAGGGCCTCAGGCTCTGAGACTAGAGCTTCAGCTTTGGTTTGGGCTGGGGGGTGAAGATCCCTCAGGGCTGAAGACGCAGTTGTCCCATGGAGCCAAAAGATGCAGAAGTGCTTTAAACTCCGCATCTCTCAGTTCGATGGTGAGTATGTGGGGGTTTACGAAAAAACAGGGAGCCCCTAAAAGAGAACCCAAATAGTAGGCAGGGTTTAAGGCTTTAGGGTTTTAGGGTTTTGGGTGCAGTCCTTATAAACCCTGACCCTGAGTGGTTGTTGGGGCGCCCAGCCGTGCAGAAGAGCAAGCGCGTGGAGCTTGAGACCTCACCGGGGGCTCGCAGGGTCCAGGTTGGCCGTCTCATTCTAAACCCCTCAACCCTAAACCCTAAACCCTAAACCCTAAACACGATAAACCCCAGACCCTATAAACCCTGAACCCTATAAACCCTAAACCCGAAACCTTACACAGGGGGCGAAGGCCTACTTGAGCATCCAGGGCTCCTCAGGAAAAGATCTCACGGCTTGACCTCTACGCGGAAGGGGGTTCATGTGCGACCTTCACCCTTCCAGGGTTTAGGGTTTAGGGTTTAGGGTTTGGGGTTAGGGTTTGGGGTTAGGGTTTGGGGTAAGGGTTTAGGGTTTAAGATTTGGGGTTTAGGGTTTGGGGTTTGGGGTTTAGGGCTGAGGAATGAGGAGTATCCCCTGAAAATCCTCGTCAAGCCTATGAGCCCTTCAGGCCCCAAATCCTCGAACCTCACGCCCGCGGCCCTCCGAAACCTCGAACCCTGCAAGCCCCAAAGCTTACCAGCTTTTGGCTTTAGGGGTTGCGAGCCTCCCTAACTCCCTAAATCTAACCCTCAAGCCCTAAACCCTGAAACCATAAATCCTATGTGAACCCTAAATACCCCCCCCCCCCTCCCTAACACCCCTCAACCAGGTAAATCCCTAAACCCTATAACCCCCCCTGAGAGGACCAAGGCTAGGGTGCCTTCTTCTCCAGGCTACTCTGGTAGCCCAAAAACCCGAAATTGCCACCAAAACCCTCAACCCTATAGACCCAAAAACCGCCCTAAAACTCCTAAACCCTATAAACCCCTAAACCCAATAATCAAAATGAGAACCAAGGGGGGGGGGGGGGGGGGTGGGGGCTTCTTCTCCAGGCGAATCTGGTAGCCAAGTATACCCTGAAACCCCTGAACCCTAACATTCCTAATTAAACCCTAAGACTCCTACTAAACCCCCTCAACCCTACAAACCCCAAAACCCTAAACCCTAAACCCTAAACCCTAGGTGGCCTTCTTCTCCAGGCGAATCTGGTAGCCCACCAGGGAGTCACGAGACCCTGGCCCCTCGCGAGGGTCCTCAGGAGACTTGGGCAGGGTTTAGGGTTTAGGGTTTAGGGTTCAGGGTTCAGGGTTCAGGATTTAGGGTTTAGGGTTTTCGTTTCCTCAGAAAACTTAGGGCAGTTCCTGAAATTCCTGCAGGTCCCTGGAGCCGTAGAAGCTCCTTTTCATAAACCGTAAGCCCTAGTTAAACTTAAACCCTAAACCCTAAACCCTACACCCTACACCCTAAACCCTATCCAGAAGCCACAAAAACACCTTAAACCCCCTCCAAAAACGCTCGGTTTCGGCTTTTGTTTTGCGAGGTTGGTTGGAAACCTGCAAGGCTGAGCCCTCCGCGCCAATCTCTTGCGACACCCGCTTGGCCACAGACACCTCGGCTGCCAACGAGGCGCCAAAGGTGCCCACCAACCGCGGGCGGGCTTAAGGGTTTTATGCTTCGAGGACCGAGATCGTCTTGAAGGAGAAAGCTTGCATGTGCGCAGGGACACGTTCTCTGCAACTTACAGCAACTGCGCAGGCACTGCTCGCCCGACATGGCTTTTTTTTGCCCACATGCTCAAAGCGAAGCTGCCTGACTTGCAGGCCCTGAACCCTAAACCCTAAACCCTAAACCCTAAACCCTAAACCCTAAACCCTAAACCCTAAACCCTAAACCCTAAACCCTAAACCCTAAACCCTAACCCTAAACCCTAAACCCTAAACCCTAAACCCTAAACCCTAAACAATGCGCGGCGACTCTCGATTCTCGAGTGCTCGGTGAGGGCGCTGTCGAACCCATGGGGTTTCTCCAGCGTTCAACTTTGTGGGAAGGCGTCGTTGCGGGCCAGGATGGGCTCTCAGGCCTTAAAATCCCCATAGTCAACACGATACAGGGCCTTTTTAAGGGGTTAAAGGGTATCAGAATCAACCCTATACAGGGCCTTTTTAAGATGATCAACCCTATAAAGGGCCTGTTTAAGGGGCTGTAGGGCAAAATAATCAACCCTATAAAGGGCCTGTTTAAGGGGTTCTGGGGTAAAATAATCAACCCTGTACAGGGCTGTTTTAAGGGGTTATAGGGTCTTATAATCAACCCTATACAGGGCCTTTTGAAGGGGTTATAGGGTCCAACTAGCCCATCCTAGGGGTCGCCGGTCGCGAGGCCGCTGCGGCCGAATCGGATCTTGCGAAGCACGGGCCATGACGACTCTGGTCCATGAGGTGCTGTGGAGCTGGGCACGCGACTTCTGCATCACCTGCCGGGGGGGCTGCTCAAGCTCTTATAATGGGTTTAGGTTTAGGGTTTAGGGTTTAGGGTTTAGGGTACATTTCCTAGATGAGTTCCTTGCTGTGACCGCCCCTCCTTCGGGCCTCCAACCTTGCAATTCCGAGACTGACCCTAAACCCTAAACCCTAAACCCTAAACCCTAAACCCTAAACCCTAAACCCTTAGCTCGCAAAACCCCCATTTCAAAGGCGTTTGGCAGCTTGCGGCTTCGTGGGGACCCTCGGTTGCCTTCATGTCGTTGTTCAGATGCGTTGCCAGAGATGAAACTCTTCTGCGCGGCACCTAAGCCAAAAAGGGGGATGACGCAATTCTGGGAAACTGTGGCTTCGAAACCAACACAAACTTTGCAAACTCCTCTTAAGCCGGAAAACGTCCTGAGCCATCTTGAACACAAAAACTCGCAAAACCGCTTCCTACAAGACCCCTCCCAGAGCTCGGGGGCACATGGCTTCTTTCTTGACTCTTGCTGCGCTTTGATGTCGAAGCTTGTTGTTATGCGCGTCGCTACCGGCACAAGCCTCTACGACTGCCAAGAGCGCTCGCTGGACAAGGTCAATTCCCAATACCATCCACCCTGAACCCACCTGGTCACTTAAAGTCTTGCACGTCTGCATCAACCCAAACCAGCCGGCCCCGGATCCTCACGCCCCCCCCCCCCCCCCCCCCCCAAGACCCTAAACCCCCAGCCCACAGACCCCGACCCCTCAGACCAAACCTTAAACCCTAAAGCCAAAACCCCCAACCCCCCTCCCCCCCTCCTCTTCACAACCCCCCCTTTACAGCGACACCCTGAACCCTAAACCCTAAACCCGAAACCCGAAACCCTAAACCCTAAACCCTACACCCTAAACCCTAAACCCTAAACCCTAAACCCTAAACCCTAAACCCTAAACCGGGCCGCCGGCCACGAGGTCGCCGCGCGCAGTGAGCCCGCTGGCTTCAGCCCAGGGACCGGAGGGCCCTGGGGCCCGTAGCCTCGGGCTTGCGCTGTTTAGGGTTTAGGGTTTGGGGGTTTAGGGGTTTGGGGTCTATAGGGTTTGGGGTTTGGGGTTTAGGGTTTGGGGTTTGGGGTTGGGGGTTTAGGGTTTAGGGTTTTGGGTTTGGGGTTTAGGGTTTAGGGTTTGGGGTTGGGGGGGGTTTAGGGCTTGCGGGGTTGGGGTTTGGGGTTAGGGTTGAGGGCCAGGAAGGTTGGGGCTTGTAGGATTTCGGGTTCAGGGTTTCGGGCCAGTACGCTTGGGGTGTTTGGATGTAAGGTTTGGCGTAGGGGCTTGGGGCTTTGGCAATGGGAGGCTCCGGGGTTTCGTAGTAGGAAATTGCATTGAACGAAAAAGGAATGAACAACAATCAGAAGTGCCCCCACAAAGGGTTCAAAACTTTGATCAAACACCCCCGGTAGGCAGTGCAGATCCCGGTATTGCAACTTTTAAGGGTTTGACACAACTGCACTTGAATAGCTACCATTCTCTTCTCCTTGTTTACACTGTCTACGCTGCCCGGGGTGGTGTTCTTGACTAGGCCCCTCAATTCTTTCGTTCGGGGACTGCAGGACGGACCCTTATAAGCGACCTCAGGGGGTAAAGTAGGGGCTACTTAGGCATACAGGGACTATGTCATACGGCTTATACAGGAGGGTCCCTTTTGGGGGTCCCTCCTTTTGCCACTTCACTTGTGCTTGGTCAGCGCCAGGCCTCAAACCCTGGACCCGAAACCCAGAACCTGCAAAGCCCCAAACCTTAAACCCCTAAACTCCACAATCCTAAACCCCCAAACCTAAACCCGAAACCCCAAACCCCAAACCCTAAACCCTAAACCCTAAATTCTCCAGATCCCAACCATCACAGTCAAGCCAGGCTAAGGCCGCGGCTAACGACCACCGAGCCGATGGGAAGCTCTTGCCCGGCCCTGGCCTGGCTTTTGCTTTGGCTTAGGGTTTAGGGTTTAGGGTTTAGGGTTTAGGGTTTAGGGTTTAGGGTTTAGGGTTTAGGGTTTAGGGTTTAGGGTTTAGGGTTTAGGGTTTAGGGTTTCGGGTTTGGGGCTTGGGGTTTAGGGTTTAGGGTTTAGGGTTTAGGGTTAGGGTTTAGGGTTTAGGGGTTTAGGGTTTGTGGGTTTAGGGTTTTGGGCTTAAGGGATTGTAGCTATAGGGTTTTGGGTTTGGGGTTTTGGGTCTGAGGTTAGAAAGCCTAGAGATTCGGGTTTAGGGCGCATGGGGATTGCGGGGTTCTTGTTGCTGATCAATAGTAAGTCAACCAGAACATTACTATACAACTAGACCCTAAACCCTAAACCCTAAACCCTAAACCATAGCTAGGGCTTTAATGATCTTCCGCGAGCCCATACGTCCGCCAGTACTTTCAACCAGCCCAAAACCCGAAGGGTTAGGGTGTTAGGGGGTTTGGGGTTTAGGGTTTAGGGCTTAGGGCTGAGGGTTTAGGGTTGAGACCTGAAACTCAGAACGGAGCCTGAACATCACTTTAGGGCTCTCGAGTTTACGGTTTACCAATTTAAGAACCCAAGACCAATAGCTTTTTTCTCCTACATTCGGGTTTATCGTGGGCAGCCTACTCAAGCAAGGCTCTATAGGCACCCTAAACCCTAAACCCTCAACCCTAAACCCTAAACCCTAAACCCTAAACCCTAAAATCCTAAGCCCTAAACCCTGAACCCTGGCCCCTGACCCCCTCGATTCTGTCTGAGCTCTAACTCCTGGACCCGGGACCTTGCCTTCACGCCCTCGCGCAGCTCCTTCGGCCACTCCTGAAGTTCGGGTTTAGGGTTTAGGGTTTAGGGTTTAGGGTTTAGGGTTTAGGGTTTAGGGTTTAGGGTTTAGGGTTTAGGGTTTAGGGTTTAGGGTTGAGGGTTTAGGGTTTAGGGTTTAGGGTTTAGGGTTTAGGGTTTAGGGCTTAGGGTTTAGGGTTTAGGGTTTAGGGTTTAGTGCTTAGGGTTTAGGGCTTAGGGTTTAGAGTTAGGGTTTAGGGTTTCTGTGGGCCTTCATCTTTGGTGATTCTGCGGTTCTTTGGGGGGGTTTTGAGAATTGGATTTTGGCGCTTGAGGCCGTATGGACTGAAACTAGCAGGGTTTAGGGTTTAGGGTTTAGGGCTTAAGGTTTAGGGTCAGGGTTTTGGGTTCGGGTTTAGGGGTTTTCTGGGGTTTGGGCCCCTGGCATCTTAGACAGGATGAGCAGGGCTGCTAGGGCTGACCACACATGTGCTTACAATACTTACAATTCATGGTTGCCAACCCTGAACCCTAAACTCTAAACCCTGAACCCTGAACCCTAAACCCTCAGCCCTAAACCCTAAACCCTAAACTCAAACCTAAACCCTAAACCCTAAACCTTAAACCCTAAACCCTAAACCTTGGTCTTCCTGAAGACCTAGCCTCGTCATTCAGCCAGAGGATGCTGGGCGAACTGGGCTGGTGGAACCTGGCCGAGTGGGGGTCCCAGCTAGGGTTTAGGGTTTGGGGTTTAGGGTTTAGGGTTTAGGGTTCAGGGTCTAGGGACCTTACAAAACCCATAAGCCAAGAGGGGCCAATGGCCTCGAGATGAGCGGGCAGTCCGTGGCATCTCCAACCTTCTGCAGGGCTTTGGCAGATTCTGGCTTTCGGGCTTTCGGGGTTCGGTTTCGAATTCAGGGTTTCGGGGGTTGGGGTTTAGGGTTTAGGGTCCAGGGTTCAGGGTGTAGGGTTTGGGGTTTGCGGTGTAGGGTTTAGGGTTAGGGTCTAGGGTTCAGCATCTCAAGTCCAAGCATTCACTAGTCAAGCACTTCATCGAGCGTGGAGAGAAATACCCACCCGCCCAACGAATCCCATAATAATAAGAAAACATGTCACTTACATGTATAAATTCAGGTGACAAGACAACAACTCTAAACAAAGCCAGCCCAGAGTAGGCCCTAAACCCTAAAAGCCAGCCCAGAAATGAGTGGGCGTGAACCCTAAACCCAGCCCAGAGTGGAGCCACCTGAACCCTAAAGCCAGCCCAAAGTAGGCCCTGAACCCTAAAGCCAGCCTAGAATGGGGCCTGAACCCTAAAGCCAACCCAGAGTAGGCCCTGAACCCTAAAGCCGGCCAAGAGTACCTAAAGCTAGCCCAGAGTGGGGCCTGAACCCTAAAACCACCTTGCCCAGCAACACAGCGACCTTGCCCAGTACAGCGGCGACCTTGCCCAGTCAAACAGTGACCTTGCCCAGTACAGCGGCGACCTTGCCCAGTAAAACGGCGACCTTGCCCAGTAAAACGGCGACTTGCCCAGTAAAACGGCGACCTTGCCCAGTAAAACGGCGACCTTGCCCAGTAACTCCCAACATTTAAATTATATACGTCAGAGAGGTTTAGGGTGTAGGGTTTAGGGTCTGGGGTTGACAACGCCCTCCGCCCAAGGTGACCATCGTCCTCGAAAGAAGCTCCCGACGAAAACCTAGCCAACCTGTCAACCCCGAAGCCCAACCTCAAAACCATCCCCCCCCCCCCCCCCCCCCCCAAACACAAAAATAACCCTAAACCCTAAATCCTAAATCCTAAACCCTAAATCCTAAACCCTAGACCCTAAACCCCCTAAACCCCCAAAACCCCCTAAAACCCCTAAATCCCCTAAACCGCGACGGGGCCTCGAACTCCACCGCCGCACTCGCGAGGCCGTGGTCTTTCAGCACCTGCGAGATGGGATGTTCCCCCTTTCTACTTAACAGCCCTTTAGTAGGGTTTAGGGTTATAGCAAAAGCGGGAACATCCCAACCTATGAGGATCTTTTTGCGGCTTGCGCGCTCGTTCTACGAGGGTTTCAGGGTTTTAAGGTTTAAGGGCTTAAGGCTTTAAGGGTTTTGAGGGTTTTAAGGGTTTAAGGGGTTTTAAGGGTTTAAGCCTTCTAAGGGTTTAAGGGTTGAAGGGTTGAAGTGTTTCAGGATTTAAGGGCTTCGAGTGTTAGGATTTTGCGGTTTAAGGTTGAAGGTTTCGGATTTAGGCAGTTCAGAGTTCCAGGCGATCCTCGCAATCCGCTAAACCATATGCACCCCTCATTTTCTCCGTAAATCCTCAGAGTCAAACCCATGCTTCAGGGTTTTTACATATTTGACAAGGACCGTGTTCAGGGACCATACAGCTACCCCAAGAAAACCCCTAGGATTAGCATTCGGAACCCTTGTGCAAAATATCAGAATTCTTGCAGATGACTTACCTTTTGGGGGACTGTTTTTCATTTCTTGGGCTTCCTTAGGCAAATCCTCAACCTTAGGGGTACGAGTCTCAATCCCTTGATTATGGGGGTCTAGGGGAACAAGCAACCCTCCAACTCTCAAACCCTATAAACCCTATAAACCCTATTAACCCTATAAACCCTATAAACCCCATAAACCCTATAAACCCTACAAACCCTATAAACCCCCAACCCAAAAACCAGGCAAACCCTATAAACCCTAAACCCTATAAACCCTAAACCCTAAACCCTAAACCCTAAACCCTAAACCCTAAACCCTAAACCCTAAACCCCAGGCAGCCCTCCAACTCTCCAACCCTGGGCTTGGGCGGTGCTGCGCCTCGCGCCCGGTCAGCACCATGCTCTCCTCTCTCCGTAGGGCCAGGGTGCAGGGGTGGGCTGAGGGGCCACTTTAGAGCTTCGGGTGTAGAGTTTAGGGGTTCAGGGCTTCGGGGTTTTGGGTGCAGGGTTTTAGGGAATTTTCAGCTTTTGGGAATTGGCCTTTTGAGCTTAGGGCGTTGCAGGCTCCAGGCGTTTTCGCGTCTAGGGCTCCAGTCCTTTTGGGGTTTAGGGCTCTCGGCCTTATAAAGGGAAGAGAGATGGTCAGTTCTCAAGTGTATGGTCCCTTTTTGGCTACCCTTGGCATTAGGAGCTGCCGTAGAATAGCATTCATAAAAAAAAGGACCCGTAGTGTAGAGAAGTTGCCAGATAGAACCGAAACAGCTTCCCTGAGCCTGTCCTCGAGGAGGTCGTAGCCTGCAGTGTAGGCAGCAGGCTTTGGGCAGGAGGTCGCTCGGTTTCAGATGGGGTTTCGGATATCAGGAGCGCAGGGTTGCAGTGAGGCTCTGTATCGGATGTATGTGGTGGTTCAAGGTTCGAGCGCTTGTCAAGATTGTCGTGCGCCATGCCATCCGTGTGATCTACACCTTCACATGGGCTCCCATTGCAGCCCTGAACGCTAAAGCCTAAACCCTAAACCCCTACACCCTATAAACTCCAAACTCTACACCCTAAGAACGCACAACCTGAAGCAGAGCCCCGTTGGCATGCCCCGTTCGAGGCGGCAACTTGCACTCCGGATCCCAAACCACGAGCCTGGATGCCAACCCGTAACCCCAAAACGCTAAACACCCTGTCGCCCTCATGAATTTAACAAAACGGGGGACTGTGGGCATGCACTTTCTCTGCTCTTGTTCGCTGTTGAAGAACTAAAAACCCGTAAGAAGACAATATCTCAAGACTCGTTTAACTCCCTTGAACCCTAGCCCTAGACCCTAAGCCCTAAACCCCAAACCCTACACCCCCGGGCCTGTGCACGGCACATCGACGGCGAGGAAGAAGAGGCACAAGTAACCTCAGCTTCGCCCTGACTGTTGGAAGACCTCTTCCTTGGGCGACCAATGGTAGGTTAGGGTTTGGGGTTTAGGGTTGGGGGTTTAGGGTTTAGGGTTTAAAGTTTAGGGCTGGTTAACCTTGCGGCCGAAACCCTGAACCCTAAAGCCGAACCCCCACAAAGTCTCCCGACGTGGAGCCCAGGGCAGAGCCCAGAACTACCGCGGTGGCATTGGAGTTTAGCACCTGGGCAGATAGAACGGATTCAGGGTTCAGGGTTCAGGGTTCAGGGTTCAGGGTTCAGGGTTCAGGGTTCAGGGTTCAGGGTTCAGGGTTCAGGGTTTAGAGTTGGGTTTAGGATTGAAGGGGGGAAGGGGGGGGGGGGGGGGGGGGTAGGGTTTCAGGGCGACTCCCTCCATTCCTCGCACAAGGAAGCCCCAAAAAAGGCTTCAGGGGCCTTGAGCCGAACAGCTTCCTAGAAGAAGGCCTATAGGGGCAACAAGGGTTCAGGGTTTACCATGGACCCTCAAGGTCTTGAACCCTGAAGCACTCAAGCAGTAAGCCTAAACCTTAAAGACCCTAAACTCTGCAAACCCCTAAAACCTCAAGTTTGGGTGACCAGACGCTGAAGGCAGATGGCAGCAACCTAATCACTGTTGTGATGTAAAGTCGATCCGACGAAGGTCGCTCGAAGCAGGATATGCTGCCACCCGTAAAGTGCGGAGGGAGTGAGGTGGCGCCAACTCTTGCGTGGACTGTCCGCTGCCCTAGGCCCTAAACCTTAAACTGGCGAAAGCACCGCTGCCCACACACATAGGGAGTGCACCCCGAAATCTAAAGAAGAGGCGCGCCCCCCGCGCGTACGCCGATACACACCCTAAACCCTGAACCCTAACCCTTACACCCTAAACCCTAAACCCTAAAACCATAAAACCCTAAACCCTAAACCCTGAACCCTGAACCCTGAACCCGGAACCCTGAACCCTAAACCAGCCCTAACAACCTGAACCCGGAGCTAGGAGCATCCTTAACCGCCGGCTGGTCCACGACGGCCTCCAAAAGAGAGATGCGCTCTGCTGAGGTTTAGGGTCTAGGGTTTAGGGTTTAGGGTTTAGGGTTTAAGGTTTAGGGTTTAGGGTTTAGGGTTTAGGGTTTAGGGTTTAGGGTTTAGGGTTTAGGGTTTAGGGTTTAGGGTTTAGGGTTTAGGGCTTCGGCTGACCTGGGGGGGGTTGGGGCTTCGGGCTTGCGACTTCTTGGGCAGCCTTGGGGGGTTGCGATCAGATTTCGGGATGCAACTTCACCCAGACCTCTGAACCAAGAATTAACCCTAATTAAGCCCTAAACCTTACACCCTAAACGCTAAACAAAACCCAAACTCCGAGCAATCCCAAACCCCTAAGCCTCTTCATGTTCCTCCTGTAGAGTCGATTCTTTTGTAGATTTTGTCCATCCCACCACCCACCTCCTCCCCCGCCCCGGTAGGTATGTATGTATGTATGTCTGTATGTATGTCTGTATGTATGTATGTACGTATATATATATATATATATATGATTCAGCCCCGGCGGGCCCCCCCCCCAATGGTCTATACTATGGTCATATACGATTATACTTTTCATTATACTAAGATGCAACGCCTGCCACTTTGCCCCCCCCCCCCCCTGTGGGTGGGGGTTTGGGTTGGGGTTGGGTTTGGCTTTCTTTTTAAGAACGAGGGTTTAGGGTTGGGTCTAGGGTGGGTTTAGGGTTTCAAACTTAGGGTTAAGGGTTTTGCCCACCGCCCCCCCCCCCCCCCCTGTTGTGTGGTGTGGTTGGGGGTTTCGTTTAGGGTTTAGGGTTTAGGCTTCCTTGGTTTAGGGTGTTTATTTAGGGTTTAGGGTTTCAAACTTTAGGGTTGAGGTTTTGCCCCCCCCGCCCCCCCCCCCCCCCCTGTGGTGTGGTTGGGGGTTTCGTTTAGGGTTTAGGTTTAGGCTTCCTTGGTTTAGGGTTTAGGTTTAGGCTTCCTTACTCAGGGTTGACGGTTTAGGCTGTAGGGTTTCAGGCTTTAGGGTTTCAAACTTTAGGGTTTCAGGCTTTAGGGTTTCAAACTTTAGGGTTGAGGGTTTTGCCCCCCCCTCCCCCCCCCTAAACCCTAAAACCTAAACCCTAAACCCTAAACCCTGAACCCTAAACCCTAAATGACGACAAGGGTCACGCATAGGGGTTAGACCTATCGCCTGCTCTGCAGGGCGTGCCTCCCATGTCAGCGATATGTGTCTGCAAGCATGGTGTGTCTGCAAGCATGGCTCCAATGTTATCGAGACTTTGCCCACACACCCAGGGCCTTCAATTAGCTGAACTGCACCGTGCCACAGGATATAAGACCTCCTAAACCCTAAACCCTAAACCCTCAACCCTTTACCCTTAACCCTGAACACCTAAACCCTAAACACTAAACTCTAAACCCTAAACCCTAAACCCCAAACGCAGCCTTGCTTGACTTAATTATTGCATGCATGGCTGTCTCAGCAGCACTGCGATTCATCAATGCGTTCCCTGAAGCAACGAGTTGGTCGGTGACAATATTGACTGAGGACTGCGAGCAGGGCTCTGTCAACATGGCACCTTCTGACTTTTATGCTTTAGGGTTCAGGGTTTTGCCCACCCCGCCCCCCCCCCCCCCCCCCCCCCCCGTGTGTGAGCAAAACCGGGTCTATTTAGAAGCTGGGGCTTGTGATTTATAATACAGGTCCATATACCTAAATGTAATAAACCTAGAAGAGCACGGCTTCTAAATAGACCCTACGGTCGGATTTCAAAAGGACGTTGGCAGAAATTAATAATTTTAATAATTTTAATAATTTTAATAATTTAATAATTTTAATAATTTTAATATTTTTAATAATCCTGAGAGGCTCCCGGAAAATTAAAATTATTAACAATATTAAAATTATTAAAATTATTAATTTCTGCCCTGAGAGGCTCCCGGAAAATTAAAATTATTAAAATTATTAAAATTATTAAAATTATTAATTTCTGCCCTGAGAGGCTCCCGGAAAATTAAAATTATTAAAATTATTAAAATTATTAAAATTATTAAATTATTAAAATTATTAAAATTATTAAAATTATTAAAATTATTAAAATTATTAAAATTATTATTTTCTGCCCTGAGAGGCTCCCTGAAAATTAAAATTAGAAAAAATATCAAAATTATTAAAATTATTAAAATTATTAATGTCTGCCCTGAGAGGCTCCCGGAAAATTAAAATTATTAAAATTATTAAAATTATTGAAATTATTAATTTCTGCCCTGAGAGGCTCCCGGAAAATTAAAATTATTAAAATTATTAAAAATTATTAAAATTATTAAAATTATTAATTTCTGCCCTGAGAGGCTCCCCGAAAATTAAAATTATTAAAATTATTAAAATTATTAAAATTATTAAAATTATTAAAATTATTAAAATTATTAAAATTATTAAAATTATTAAAATTATTAATTTCTGCCCTGAGAGGCTCCCGGAAAAATTAAAATTATAAAAATTATTAAATATTAAAATTATTAAAATTATTAAAATTATTAAAATTATTAAAATTATTAAAATTATTAAAATTATTAATTTCTGCCCTGAGAGGCTCCCGGAAAATTAAAATTATTAAAATTAGTAAAATTATTAAAATTATTAAAAATATTAATTTCTGCCCTGGGAGGCTCCCGGAAAATTAAAATTATTAAAATTATTAAAATTATTAATTTCTGCCCTGAGAGACTCCCGGGAAATTAAAATTATTAAAATTATTAGAATTATTAAAATTATTAAAATTCTTAAAATTATTGAAATTATTAAAATTATTAAAGTTTTAATTATTAATGGTTTCATAATTTTAATAATTTTAATAATTTTAATAATTTTAATAATTTTAATCATTTTAATAATTTTAATAATTTTAATTTTCCGGGAGCCTCTCAGGGCAGAAAATAATAATTTTAATATTTTTAATAATTTTAATAATTTTAATAATTTTAATTTTCCGGGAGCCTCTCAG